CTGTAAAAGTCTTCCTTATATCTTGTTCCGCATTGTTTGTAGAACTGTGCGTAGCATTGGATAACTGTCACCTTCCTTCCTTTTGAGTTGAATCTTGTTGTGATGATCCTGGAGGAAATTGGTTCCCACTGCATTAGAGCTTTGACTGCCACTGGTGACATCATCATAGCCACTCCCTCGGTGTTCTCTTAGTTGTCGTCTGGGTGATCGGAGTAAATTATAGACTCTTCAGTTGACAATGTTGTCAATCCATACTCATTCCATCTGCTTTTGCAGATACCCAGTACTTCTAAGCCATACCTTCACATCTCTTTGGCTACCTGGGCAGCCTTCCCAGTCTCGTACATTGTATGGACATTCCGCGTACCCATTCCCACTCTTGCTTTCATCGAGAGAAGACACATCCGCTGGCTGGCTGACTGGCCTCCAGAAGACGGGGTTTCACCATCCCGCTGTGTCATTTTGCCTCTCCGATTTGAGCGAATAATAAGATGGTTATTTGAATTCTTCGTATTTTTAATTTATTTTCTGTGTGTGTGTGTTGAAGTTTCTCTAGCGGTTTGATAGGTTTAATGGTGTGAGTTTACTAGCCCTACGTCCAACCCTCCCTCTTTACCCGGGCTTGGGACCGGCTAGAAAACTAGTCAGCTAGTTAACTTGGCGGGGTTATCAATCATTATATGCGTACAATAATAGTATATATAATAATAAGCACTTTATCCCGAAAAATATTAATCATACACAATGGAACTTTTCGGTATTACGTAATCAGATGAAACAGAGGATGAAAGCACCCAATCACCGGCCAGAGCAAGGAAATACTGGTAACCGCTTCTTTCTAAGCGCATAAATCAGGTTTCAGGCGCTTGATGGAGATTGCTTCGGTAAACTTAAAGAGAATTAAACTCTTTTGCTTATTGATGACTTTGAACGATCTCGCGAAGTCCACCTCATGACCCTTGTCAAGTAGATGTCTGGCGATGGCACTGTTGAAAGCATTTGTTCCCTTGAGACATAGGCTTTTCGGTACATTTTCAGCAAATCGTAGATATTCCCTTCTTTCTGTTCTTCCAATGTAACTGCTATCACAAATACACATACATTTCCAAACACAGATAGAGTTAACATGAGAAGGGTATCTGTCGACTTTTGATTGCAACAAACAGCGACTTCTTTGATAGACGGGAACCAGCTTATCTACAGTATAGATTTTGGCTAGTGACGTCTTTAATCTTCGGTTAGACGACCAATGATATCCAAACAATATCAGATAGATGTTTTTCCCAGTTTAGTGCTCTTCACCGATATACAACCATATCCCCATCAGGACTAAAACCCAAACTCTTATTAAGCTGTCCAACTGTATGTATATTTGATAAACTTTAGTCAATGAACAATTGATGAATAAAATCAGCAGTATAGGCTTTAATGAAAAGGCGGTCAAAGTGAATAAAATACAAGCAGGGCTATTAGAACCTTTTTTTCAAAAGTATGGTCTTTGAACAAAGAATATTCTTTTCATTTACTTCATCATCAGTTTCTACAGTTACATGTACATAATAGTGAATGAATTATTGTTCTTAGCAACATTAATGTTGTTTAAATAACATCGAATCAATAATAATAATAATATCAATGGATTGCAGTTTGATAGCATCAGCATAACAGTAAACTGAGTGAATATCAGAAAGACAGGTTAGGAAAGATAATTATACAGAACTCATGAATTTAAAGTCTTCACTAAAGGATGGCCAGGGCAGTAGTAGTGGCTGACTGGACTTGGTTGTTATCCACAAATGACATCCATTGTCTCAGGTGAATCGCGATAGCCTCTGCTGTTCGAAGTATGCGATACCTGAATGTTTTTGGCAATTTACTTGGTACCCGGTAGATGATAGAGAAGGATTCTTCAATGGTGGTGGCTGGCTCTGTGGCCGGTTTGGAGCAGGTGGTTTAATATCGAACTACCGATGGTTTTTACTACACCTTTGAAGAGATATATGCTGGTTCAAGTGCCGTCAAAAAAAGAAAGTAAAATTATATTCGTAGTAGTAGTAGTAGTGATATGTATGAAAAATTGAAACTGAATGAAATTCAGTAAAGAGGAATTATTTTAGGTTAATGTATTATTATTATTTATTCAAGCTAGAGGCTTGAAGTTTCTGTAGCAGTGTTCATTTTTACAGGATGAGGTTGCTAGCCTTATGCCCAATCTTCCCTGTTCACCAGCTTTTCTTTTATTTCTGGCTTAGCGAGGTTAAGGAGTGCGTCGGCCGGGGATCGAACCCCAGACCATATGAGGCGTGGTCGGAGAGCGTCCTAGCCGTTGTGCCACTGACGCACATCTTAGGTTTATGTAGTGTATGGAATTTTAAAAAGTATTTTAGAAAACAGGGTTTGAGGTTCTTCTTCATGCATATCTAGGAATTCAACAATAAATAAGTGATCAGCATATGAATCTTTGTGGTGGTTAAGTTTGGTCATGTTGAATAATTTAGAATTAGAATATCAAGATCCTGAATGTAGTCACACCGTAAGATGGCTGATTAACTAACTAACTGAGAATAACCGAAAATCAGTACTTCAAGTTGCCACACTCCTTTGTAAGCACGCAGAGGTAGAGAAAAGAGGAAAAAAGATATTCAGAAGAACTATATTGATCAGAAATGTGCAGAAGATCTGAGAGATTACAAATAGTGAATGTATCTACACCACTGACAACAATTTTGAGCCATATAACCAACAGTATCATCCCTGTAACCCTAACAAGTAAGTCAACATCTCGCTAAATGTCTGCTTCAAACCAGTAGTCAAATTCTTCACTGATTGGTTCAAAGTTTTAGTTTGACCACTCCTAACTCCCTTCCAGACGTATCTTATACCAGCTAAAATTTTCTATAGAAGAAAGAGATTGTTCAGCATGCGTAACAGGTGTCCTACCCATCCCGATCAACGTAGCTTCGCAACTCCATTGACTTAATATTCTACACCTAGCCTCATGATTACTCACCATATTATACTACTTAACACGAAAGGTGGGCGTTGGTGGTTCTAGCGGTAGAATTCTCGCCAACCACGCCTCATATGGTCTGAGGTTCGATCCCCAGCTGACGCACCCCTAAACCCCTCTAATATGCTGCTAAGACCATTAAAGAAGGAAGGCTAGGCGTGAGGATAGCAACCTTACTCCGTAAAAAAAAAAACACCACTTCTTCTGAAACTTTAGAGGTCAAGCTTGAAGTCCTATGTTCCATTTAAGATAAGATAAAAGAATAAAATAAGAACACGGAAGGTAAAATGCCAACATCTGTGGTCAAAGACACCTAGTCTTTTCATATCTTCCACTTTCAACGACCACATCTCACAACCATAAATGAGGATGGAACTAACTACTTGAGTAGTAAATTTCATACATTCATTGTAGGCTGGATATAATGCTCAGGCTAAAGGTGACGTAATTCCCCCTAAAAGCCCTAAGATATTCGCTAATGGTTCGTGCTTTTTTTTCACTCCCTTCTTTCTTCACAACGAGATCGAATAAAGTGTTTGAAAACGTGTCTCCAGACAGTGTGCTTACAATGTCCATTATAATCACTGCTACACAAAAAAGTGGCTTTTAGGTGAGAATTTATAACCCTGTTATAAATAAGACCCGGTAAACGGATAAGTAGTTCATAGGAATAAGCAAGAAAGACTTCGAAACTATGTAATTTTAAGTCTTCATTTGTTTATTGACCATACCAATTTATTCGACAAACTAATGGAAGAAAAGAACACAACAAATGAAATCGATGTCAACGCTTCATCCTCTATTGACAGAACAAAATGGGTGATCAACCTTTCATCAAGAGAACTAAGCTCTAGTGAGATAAAAGTATTTGAGAAAAGACTAAATTTCAACGTTACAGTTAGTAAATTAAAACCGGAGGATGTCATTCCTAACAAAGAGGTGGCACTAAATTCAATAGATAAAACGGCAGCAGAAGAGGTTCGAGCACAATGTGCATTAATCCTGAAAAATCAAAAGAAAGCAAAATAAAAATTAACAGAATCTGAAAGACTAGCTCCACTTGGTCTAGAACATTATAAAAAAATATCGTCATCGCAAAATCTGACAAGGGAAACTCCACAGTAGTTTTGAATAAATCTGACTATATCAAGAAAGTCACTGAACACAGATCATATCTTCACTCTCCGACAGATTCTAGAACATAGACACACTTTTCAGCGTCCAACAATTGCCATATTTCTTGACCTGAAAGCGGCCTTCGACTCCGTGGATCGAAAGGTACTATGGCAGTGTTTGACTGTGAAGGGAGGTAGTTCCAAGAAAGTATATTGCATTAATTAAGGCACTCTATTCAAACTCACGTAGCCGTATGTTGAATCCAGACAGACAGACAGACTGAACATATTCAGAGCATATCAATGAGATGCTCACTAGTGGCTTGCCCTATTCAGGTAGGTAGTTACCTGGGGTTCTAGTGAGAAGTTGTGACCAGTAAGGTGCAGCAGGTCGGGTGAGAGGACAAATACTCGCCAGCGAAGACAATGGCTAGGGCTTACGCTCTATCATGAATTGGCAGAAGTTAGAATTCATGAACTGGCCATTGGATCGGGTCCCAGTGGCTTAATGGTCTACGAGCTAGCTCGATAGTCTTGTAACGAGAAGGTCCTGGGTTCGAACCCTGTTGGTGTGTACTTCTGAAGAGTCCCAAACCAGTGTGACGAAACAGCTGTCCAATACTCCGTAGCTGGCTTTCCAATGGTTCTCTAACTAATATCAGCTCATGATGAAATCCTATCAATGACATTCAACTAGAAATTGATGAAACATTGGTTAGTTTTGTTTTAAACTAGTCTTTATACTTCATTTGTTTAGGCTGTAGGTGCAGAAACAATTTTTTTAATGGAGATTTGTAGAAAAATGAGTAATTGTAATATGTGTTAAGTTAATAAAAAGTAAAGATTTCATTCTCTACATGTTTTTTTTCTTACAGAAAAAACAGTTCATCAACTTCGTCAACTTTTAGCCGAATTCACTTTACCAAAATTCTACGAAGTATTTGGTATACAACATGTGAAATGTGCCCCGATAAGTGCATTTCCACATTTTCGTCCAGGTGAAAGATCAGGTTTAATGGCATCAACTGCTGGACCGAATAATTCATCTCATGTTGGTGCGGGTGGCGGTGTTGTTGGTGGTTCTACAGCCTTAAATATTCCACCACTTACTGGATCTATTGGAGCTATTGTTTCAAATTTACATCATAGTCAAGGAAGTAGTAGTAGTATTAGTAGTAATTGCAGTGGTGGTACATGTACATCAATGTCAATCGATGGTGGTGGTGGGAGTGGTGGTGTAGATTTATTAAGCGGGAAAAAAGACACCAGTCTACGTACATCGGAATTAAAAAAACCAGAATCAAATCCTGCTAATTCACATCCAGTATTAATAATGATTGGTGATAATTGTGATGAAGGAAGTGTTTGCCAGAGGATGACATCATCGATTGAAACACCTCAACGTACTAGACAAATAATCAATGATTCCGCTGATAATTGTGGACGAAATCCATACAGTCAACAACAACAGCAACAACAGCCTCAACAACAAAACCCACACCAACAACAGCATACACGTACTACTGATATGTTCCATGTCAATTCAAGTAGTAGAATGAATTCAGCCTATTCAGATAATTATTCATTTAGATTCAATCAAACACCCCAGTATGTTCCACATATATTTAATCCATATGCAAATATACCAGCCTATCTGACTGCACACAACGCATCACAATTATCTGTTCCATCTATAGATGGTTTAGATAAACCTGAACGTCTGTCACTGAGTTCATTAGAATTTCTTACGGATACTCTATTAGAGATTATGAGTTTAGTGATTAAAGAAGTACCGAAATTTACTCATTGGCTTGATCAGTGGACACAATTAGCTCGAAAGTAAGTATTTATTTATTTATTTTACTTATCTGTTGATTGATTTTATCGTGTTGGATCTCTGTTGAAATGTTAACAACTGGTACCCATTGCACGAACTGTCTGTCTGTCTGTCTGTTTTCGACATAGAACTTTGCACCGATGTGCACCAGTTCAAGTCGCCACACTCCCTCCTTGTAGCACACAAAAGCAGGAGAAAGTAGAAGAAATGCATATTAAAGACAATAAACAGAGGTGTGAGACAAAGGAATAGTAATAACGAAGAACAATATAGTTTCATTGGAAATCATAAGTCACAAGGAGTGGATGCATCTGCGCTAGCCATTGAAAACTACTTTGACCCATATCACCAATTGTTTCCAACCGGTGATTGGTTTTTACCGTCCCGAAGACCCCAACCAGGAATTATACACCTTCCTACGTGGCTTAAACTAACTGTTTTGGATTTCATTGACTGATGAAGCCATGTTTTGGTTTGATCGACGCTAGCTGTTTTCCAGTCTGACCCTATGTCAGCTGACATTGCCCGTCGAGGAAGGTGATGACTAGGGACACATATGTAACACATGTCCTAACCATATCAGTCGATATAAATGCTTCACAGCCTCGTCGATTGATTTCCCCTCCCACCTACCTAGCACTCGGCCGATGACTAACCTCACTATTGCTCACCTTATTATACCACTTCACACGGGAGATAGAACGCAGGCACCTATGGTCAAAGACAGCTAATCTTTTCATGTCTTCCACTCTCAATGGCCAGGTCTGGCTCACAACCATAAAGGAGGACGGAGCGGACTGATGAGCAGTACACCCGCCCTTTGGTGGATAGCCATCCGGGTATCATGTATACTCCACAGACGGCGTAAACTCGCATATATGAAACTAGCCCTCTGTATCAGTTCTGAGATTTCGTCAGAGATCAACCCGTAGGCGTTGGTTGATGGTACTTCTCAAATAAGTGAAGCGGTCAATGTGTTCTACCACTTCACTTCCTATTTCTAGTCTAGGAGTCGGTGTAGTCCAGTAATGTACCATCATCTTACATTTGGCAGAGGGGCGAATCGCATGCCAAACATTCGCCTAGAGGGACTATATCGTCTGCATATTCTAAGTCAACGAACGGTGGCCTTTATAATTCAGTAACCCAATATATCACGCTGTGATATTTCGGAAAACAGGGAATGGGTTTGAGACTTCGTGGGAGATGTAGATACAACCAGCTAGCAAGTCTCAAACAGGAAAAGTCATGCATTCTGGGTCCCACTGATAGTCACCATAAGTCAGGTGTAGTATTTATTGGATATGGTATATTTTTGATTTTAGATAGTTGGAGGCAACCGACCACAGGAAGCCTTGTTCAACCTAGGTTTCGTGCTAGTTGGCATTCACCAACTACTCAGCAAGGCGTATCTGCAACCTTGGAGGAATTCATATCCCTTCCAAGATTCGAACTCACGTCATCCAGTGCTGCAGTCAGCGACGTTACCACTGAGTTATTCGGGCTGGTGATTGACCTTCTGTAGGACTATACTGGATATTGTTGATTAGACATTGGTTGGTAACCACTGTAATGTGTCTAGTTCTATCTTTGGTGTAGACTAAACTCTATCAAGTTTGCTTTGTGGTCACCATGCTAGTTGGCTGACCATCAAGGTGCACTATGAATTGTTGGTATTAGATGGTTAGAGCCAACCGTCAGACAGCTTTGGACCTAGGTTCCCTTCAACCATCTAATACCAAAAATTCATAGTGCACAGTGATGGTAAGCCACCTGGAATGGTAATCACAATAAACTTCATTAACAGAGTTCAGTCTACACCAAAGATAGAACTAGACACGTTACACTAGTTACTGACTAGTGTCCAATCAAATATATATACATGTATATATCAACTCGTAAAAACAAATCTAATCCTTACAAATCAACTATAGAAAATTAATCTGATGCTCACTAGTGGTTTGCTACAGGATGGAGAATTCGTGACCAGTGAGGTTCATCCAGTCAATCACGTGTGAGGATGGATGTACGACTGACAACATTGGTTGGGGTCGGGTTAAATCACAAATCGGTATAAGTTAGAATTCATGCACTGGCAATTGAACCGGTTCTCAGTGGCTGAATGGTATACGAGCTGGCATACCTTGTAACCGGAAGGTCCTGGGTTCAAAACCCACTCTGTGGGTGCGTACTGACAGTGAGCCCCAAACTAGATTGATGAAACAGCTGGCTATCCAGTACTCCGGTGCTGGTTTTCACTGGTTTTTCTAACTGATATCAATCCGTGATCAACTTGTAAAAACAGAATTAATCCTTACAAACCAACTATTGAATATATATATATATATATATATATATATTGTTTATTAAAGGAAAGCAAAGTGAAAAATTTATACACTTTCTGGTAAGAAAAGTGGTAATCGACCAAAGAAATAACATTTCAGAAGGAACTACAAAATAAAAATAGGATAATCACCAAATAGGTATATAGTAGCATGTTCATGTAAAACTTAAAGTAGTTCTGTCCGTTACACGTTGACTTTTGCTTTCAATTAGTATGACAAGAAAATTTACACGTGCACATTTAGCTGAAAGCAGTGTAGACAAACTATTACAACTCAAGTGGAACTGCATTCAACTGATAATAAGACAATAATTCTGAACTTTTATGATAAAATATTACTGTATTTGAAAGAGTAACCAGTAATAAGTCTTTGGAGATATACTTTTGGTTGATCTGTGTAATTGGAAAACATTCGAATCCCGGTGGGTGCGTACTGATGAAGAGTCCCAAACTAGGACGAAACAGCTGTCCAGTACTCCCAGGTTTTCCAATGGTTCTCTAACTAATGTCAGCTCATGATGAAATCCTGAAACCAATCAAATCCCTGCAAACCAACACTTGAATTCAAACCAAGCATTGTTACCTGCTAACTACATCGATTTGATAATTTTCTCTATGTAACCAACCAGTTCACCCAATTAACTAGCCTTAACTGACATAGTTTGAAATTATTATTATCATTATTATTTTATTTACTTCGGCTATCTCCTACGGGAGGATGAGCCGGCTTCATGAATATCTCGAATCATCGCTGCCCATGCGCGGCGATCTGATGCAAGGTTTTGCGACAGTGTTATCCAATTCTTGTTTCACAGACGTAGTCCGTAGACGGTTTGTAGCCCCAGGCACTCCATATCAGCCTTGACTGTACCAAGCCATGTTTTCAGCTGTCCACCCCTGCGACATCGCCAAGATGGAAATGGCGAGGTATTTAGAACTGATTTGATCAGATCGTCATCTGGTCGGCTCAGAACATGGCCAAACCACCGAAGGCGACGTTGTTGGACCAGTACTGGAATTTGGTTGATGTTGTAGAGAGTTCATGAAGTTTCATGGGAATTAGGTACGAGTGATGTCCCCAGGATCGCTCGGACTTTTGTTTTAGAGTGCAGCTCTAGCCTTTACACAACCAAATGTGACCTACAAGGTAGTAGGAGTGGAGTAGGAAGTCCACTATCCATTGGGAGCCGGTGACTGGAGTCCGGTTCATACGCCTTTTTGAATGGGGCCAGACATCCAGGGCATCCAATAAGCCCTTTGTCCATACGTCTGCCGGTGAGCTTCATTCACCAGTCGTTGGAGGTTTGGAATCAGGGTTTAGCCATCTCCCCTAGACCGTCATCCAATGGACAGTCAACCCGGTGAAGAGCGCCGGGCATCCGCTTTTGCCCTCTCACTTCGGTGAAAAACACCTCCAGCACGTGAAGGTAGTGAATAGGACTTCCTCAGGAGAAGCTATGTAAGACGCCCGGTCATATGGGAGCATTTCAAGAGGTGTACGGTGGGAGGGGTGGCCAATCCGCAGCGCAAGGCACCCACCCCCGATCATTCTGAGGCTTTGGAGGCCATAGTTTCAAACGGCTTTAGTCACTGATGTGGATCAGCCAGGAGACGCCACACTAGTGACCTTATCACTTCATTAGGTGAAACATTCATTCAATTTTTAGATCACTTTGATCTGGATAGGAAGCACCTGTCGTAGGTTGGCTGATTTCCAACTTCCCAAATATAATATACGGCTGTGGTGTGTACTAACGACAAGACGTATCATTAGTATATAACAAAAAGACGTTCGTTGGCACAAAAAATATCAGACAGTGGAGAGCGAGAGAAACAGAAGTAACGTGAAAGAGAGCAAATGGACCAGTGTTGCTACGAAACATGCCAGACACGAAAAGAAGACAAAAAAGATAATACGAAAGGCAGAAGTAACACAACATGGAATTTTGGGCAATTGAGGATTTTTTTTAAATATGGCTTGACTCCACACCTTATTTTTGGTACAAGTATGCATGTGATATCGGTAGCTCAATTTCGGAGGCCGACCATTTATATTAGGTGCGCGTCTGCAGGGGATCGAGCCTCGGACCATGTGCATGGTCGACAAGAGTCATAACCGCTGTGCCAACAACGCACAGTTAAAGTAGAAATCTAATATTTTCAATTGTTGGTTTGAAGGGGTTTAATTAGTGACAGGTTTAATCATGGGCTGATATCAGTTAAAGAACTATTCGAAAAATGCTGTGTCCTGACGGATGTGTTGTCCTAGCTCTTAGGCCACTGGATTGGTTCCCAGTGGTTAAATAATCTACAAGGTCACCCTGTCACTGGGAAATCCTCTGTTTGAACCAAGATGGGTGCGTACTACTTATAAGTCCGCAAAGCTAAGACGACACAGCTGTCATTATAATTCAACCGTCAGCCAAATTTATAGGTAGGCAACTGTCTTCTTACCTGATTTAGTGGTCTACGAACTCACCCTGTAATCCGATAGTCGTGGATTCGAACTCCAGTGGAAGCGTACTGTTAAAGATTTCCAAACTAGCATGAAACATCTACATATCTATCTAGCATTCCCTGGTGTTTTTCTGTGGTTTTCTAACTGTGATGTCAACTCTTGATCAAACCTGTAAAAAAATTTAAAAGGACAAATGAAAACACCCGCTTTGATCCAGTAGCATTTTGAGTGTAAATTAATAAACAACAAACTGTACTTACTGCCTAAGAGACGATTATTGATTTCTCTCAGTAATGTAGTAGATAACCCATTGATGATATTCAAAGTGATAGTCTGTCTATCTGTCTGTCTGTTTTCGACATAGAACTTTGCACGGATGTGAGGCAATTCAAGTAGCCACACTCCCTCCATGTAGCACACAAAGCAAGAGAAGAAAGTAGAAGGAATGCATAATAGAGACAGTAAACAGAAGGGCGAAACAAAGGAATAGTAATTCCATATTAGTTTGTTTATTAGATGTATAACACAATGAAGTAGTATTACTATTTTATTTTTGATTTATTTATCCAGTACATAATACTGTTTCACTCACTATGTGATACATCTAATAAACAAACTAATATGGAATTACTTACTACCACTGTGCCGAAGTTTTATACATATATCAAAAGGAATAGTAATAACGAAGAAAGTGATAGTTCATGATATTCAGTCTTCATAAAAATACTGTCACTTAAAGAAATATGTGGCACAATGGTTAGGACTCTCACCGACCTTGCACATGGTCCGAGATTCAATCCCCTGCCGACGAAGCACACCTGATATCTATGGTCGGCCTGCAAAATTTGGGCTACCGATATCACATGCTGAAAATTCCATACTTGTACCGAAAAATACAGTATGGAATCAAGCTGTAATAAAAATAAATAAATACTTAACACACTCTATACCTTATGGAGAAATTAACAAGGAGGTCAGTGAAGATATCTTTCTCTATATTGTGCTGATTAGTATCTCCTAAGGTTTAATACACCTATTAATTAACAAATAAAACACCAAGGTAAGGAAATCCCTTGAAGACAGCTAGGATATTTTGAAAACAGTTTTTTTTTTTAAAAAAAGAGCAGTTTTAAGGTCAATTGTAGCATAGGATTCTCTAGGGAATACAAACATTAATGAGATTTCTTAAGCGTAAATAAACTGTAATAAATAGGTTGAACAGTTTCAGTCAAATGGAAAAGAAGTCAAATGGTTGCAAATCAAACATTAATGTGAAAATCTAAAGCTTAGCCAGAAGAAAAAGGGGATGTGGGGGCAGCGGGAACCTGAAATAATAACAATAACAGTATGCTGTCATTCGTCAAAAAATCTTAAATAAAAAGTCTTGTTATCTGACTGCTTGTGATTATATATGTATATACTGTGGTCTTCAATTCTTCTTCTGGTGAATAACTCTCAATCAATTCACTTTGTTGGTTTTTGTCTTATTCAGTTATTCAATTAAAATATGCCTTATTTTTTTTATATTTAGATTTGCATTTCAACATAATCCAGCCTTACAACCACGTGCTATCATTGTCCTTGGATGTATTTGCAAAAGTTTCACTGATACTGATATCAAACAATTACTCTGTATCATGTCTAGAGCTCTAGCATCGTATGCAAATGAATTGAACATGGAAAAAGATTTACGGCATAGAACTATGAATACTGGACAAGCAGGTTAGTTTAATTCATGTAATGTAATGCTTATACTGATAGTATTTGTTTACGCACAAAAGGCTCCATATCAATTTGTTCATTAGATATATCACACAGTCTGTGAAATAGTATTATTTACTGGATGACATTTCGAATACAATTTATTGTTAATAATCAATCATATCAATTATAATCATACAACTTTGAAACTTGAGTTTTATAGTTTTCTTTGTCCTATCCTATTTGTCGTAGTAGGAGTAGTAGAATTTTCCAGATGGTCCGGGTGGGCAGGTGTTGAGTCATTCCTATTAAATGTGTTTTCCCTCAGTTGATTTGATAAACAAAGCTTCCGTTATCAATCTCTCCCTTCACTCTGCAACATTGGATTTTAAAACTGTCATCTTATCCCAGTCATTCTATTGGTATGGTTGTGTGTGATTACATATGGTGAGTACTACAGCTGAACTATTCTCCAGATTAGTTGACCCGAATAATATTGGACATCAGGAGAATAGATCAGCTATACCACTCACCACATGCAATTACACACAATCATACCAATAGAATGGCTGGGATAAGATGACAGTTTTAAAATCTAATGTAACATCAGGGTGGAGGGAGAGATTGATAACAGAAGCTTTGTTTATCGAATCAACTGAATGAAAATACATGTAATAGAAATGAATCAACACCTATCTAGTCGGATATCTGGAAAATTCTAATACCCCAGCGACGACAAATAGGATAGGACAAAGAAAACTATAAAACTAAAGTTTCGAAGTCGTGTGATTACAATTGATGAAATGATTGTGAACAATAATGAATTGTGTTTGAAACCTTGTCATCCAGTAAACAGTAATGCTGTTTCACTGTGTGATATATCTAATAAACAAACTAATATGAAATTACTCACTACCACAGTACCCAATTTTACACACACACATAATAATTTCACAAAAGACGTTTTTGTACTTTCTCGTTTCACAAAAAACCTCTTACAAGAGTTGATTTTTAGGGATTTGATTTTCAAGTTTGATCACGGATCGATATCTGTTAGAGAGAACCGTTAGAAACCAACCACAGAGTACTGAATATTTGTTTCATCCTAGTTTTGGACTCATCGTTAGTACGCACCCGGCGGATTTCGAACCTGCGAGTCAGATCCTAGTGGCCAAATGGTCTATGAACTTGCCTTGTAGCTGGAACATCCTGGGTTCGGTCGCTGGTGGTGGGTTCCTACTGCCAGTGAGACTCAAAGTAGGATGAAACAGCTGCCCAATACTCTCTGGTTGGTTTTCCAATGGTTCTCTAACTGCTATCAATCCGTGGTCATACCTGAAAAACTTTTTATAGCTTAAGCCTGTCTGTCACTTTGTAAAAACAATATGGATGTTATCTATCCTATGTTACTTGCTGGTATTTTTATTCTTTTACGAATAAAGGTGAATGCAAATCTGTATCTCAACAGAGGAAGCTTCCATTTGATTTTTGATGGAGATAGCTATCTTTCTGTGCAGTTAGGAATCATCTACTGATGTGGTTCAGTTCCGCTGAGAGTTGACTTTCTTATAGTCTTAATCGCTCCACAACTTCCGTTTAACTTCGTCAATTATTACGTGGTTGTAGGAGTAGCTGCTAAAAGTCTTGAAATTCCATGGTAACAACAAAGTACTTGGTTTATAGTAAGGTGATTGCTGAATAACAGTATTTCAGTGAATAAGGTGTTGCTGGTGGCTCAGTCCGCTTCGGCGGTACATGTCCTAAAATCGGAACGATACAGAAAAGATTAGCATGGCTCCTACACAAGGATAACATGCCAAGTCGTGAAGCATTCCATATTCTATGTGCCTACGGCACAGAGGTAGAATGCTCGCCAAACATGCATGTAGTGCAGGCCGACTCACTGTTGAGCCTCGCTTACTTGATAGTTAGCCCCGGCAAAGAGGACATGTTGGGCGTGGTTCAACAGCCTAGTACCTAACTCTATGATGTTTTGAGTTCCACTGCCAGTGAGAATACCATCAGTAACTGCCACTCAAATTCATCCAACTGAAGAACCCAGAGGAAGATGAAATACAACTGTAGATTCTATAGCCAATCATCACCAAACAAGTTACTTCAAGTAAGAAATCACGTTAATATTGAAGTATTCATTGAAACAGCCCATGTGTGGAAATAAACCTGATCAATTCTATCATAAAGCACCACCATGGGAAGGGGTGGCGGTCACAAGTATAAACAACTAATTAACTCTGAATCTTAGTCTTACTGAGTAAACCAATGTAACCTTGTTTAATAGTGAGTTTCTAATTTAGCAAAATGTGAGTTGTTTCTCCTATTACCTATAATCTCTTTCAGATCTGGCATAAAAAAATCAGTAGCAATGTCTAGAATTTATATTTTAATATAGATTTATGCAATCTATTCATAAAGTCTGGCTGATGATCATAAAAAATCTTTCTAATAAAAGCCTCTACAACTGTGTGTGTGTGTGACTCGTTAGCTTGCGTTGTTCAATCGTTCCGTCACTAATTTTTTAAACAAACGGCTTAAATGTTTGTCCATTAAACAAACTAATATCTACTGCACTCAGAACAAAGAACAAGATTCGAATTTTCAACACAAATGGGAAATCTGTCAGTTCTTCTATATGGGTCAGAAATTTGACTCGTGTGTCACTAAAAGGATTTCCAACAACCTGTTACAGACTTTCATCAACAGCTGCCTCCTTCGCTGGCTGGATCCATCCTGAAGATCAAATAGGCAGAAAGAATAAGCAACAAGAAACTCTGGCTGGGAACAAACCAACAAGCAAAAGCCGATTGCCCAACAAATATGTGGGGGAAAATGGAGATGGACCGGGTATATGTTGAGGTGGTCATCGAATGACATCGCGCTCAATTCAGGCCATCGCTCGAGTGGGATGGCGATGGTAAGCGATGAGTGGGTGGTCGGTGCGAGAAAGACATGGAAGAGATCGTGTGAGGAAGAGATTAGAGAGTTTGATCAATTGTGGAGCCAGCTGAAGAGGATGGCAGAAAACAGAACAAAGTGGAGATGTGTTGTTGAAGCCCTAGGTTCTGCTGAGAATCCAAGAAAATAATAACATAAAAAAAACTAATAGATCTACATGGCCAAAAACAACTTAAACATTAAATAATAAAAGTATGATAAAGTTTTCCTCTGTATAGGTTAGTGAGTGGTCACGTGAATGTTTCTGCTCATAATAGACATATTTTCTGAGAGAAGTAAAAGCAACTCTACCTATGTACTCAATCCTTGCTTAACGAAGCTTCAGTTGATGCACTAGTTGAAAACAAAATACCTAAACGCCTAGTCCATAACTCCCTTATGATGGTTTACACTACTTTCCTGTTTAATTTGTTTTAACCTAAAATACTTTTTTTTAAAAAATATTTTCTTCTTTTGTCTTTTCAATAGAATTGTATCTTATTGAAGCGATAATCATTTGTTTAACTCGTCTCCTACCACTGTTACCGCCTGATTCAGAAACACATCAACCACTGTTTTGGATTGCATTAGGCATATTACAGTTAGATGAAGTTTCATTGTATGCAGCTGGTTTAGCTCTACTTGAACAAAATCTATTAACACTTGATCAAAATGGAACATTTGAACATGATGTGAGTGGCATTTTTTCGTTGTCATGTATATATATACTCATATATTCTTTAATTGTTTTAAAAGATGTGTGGAAATAATTAAGAAGACCTGTGCACTTCTGTCTGAATTCATATACAGAGTGAACAACAATAGATAGATAGCTTTGAAATAATGAAGAAGGTTGATAGCTCAGGTGGATGAACAATTTCAGTGTGTTTGTGTCTTCTGAGCTGGATAGTTGAATTGTGAAGCCCTCATTGTCTTTACCCTTACTTCAAGGTTAATTCACCTATGGCATACAAACGAAAATGTGTACAAACTTAATTTTTATCATTAACAGTTAGAGGTGTGCCAAAACTTGGCATTAATTCGTGAAATCTTCGACAAATGGTTTCAGCCAGTCATCTATAGAGGTGTTGTAACAAGAGAAGACAAGGGCCAGGCAACACATCGTTTATTAAGGAAATCAACACATATTTATAGATCTTCATGTACATTATTACAGATTATTTAAGCAAACAAACACAGTCCTGTGATTGGTTGTTTCTCACTGAAAGTTAATCTTTCATCTCTTTGTGACTGTTTCTTGAATGTCAGATCACCTATATGTTAACTGTGTCCGCCTACGCAAAGTCTTTATTCTAATTTTTCTCACGACCAATATTGGGGACATAAACATTGACGTGAATTACTGTCTACCTACTTTGGCTAACAGCCAGCTCTCACTACAGTGTCAATTGACTCGTTGGATCCTGGAGATGTTGACGACCGATGGCTTGAGAATATCGGTGATATGGATCGAAATTGTTGTGACCCCCCCCCCATTTTCCTTTGGACGGTCTATGTTTCTCTACATTATTACTCTTCCACCCTTACATTTGTGCTTATAACAGTTTTTTTTTCGAATCCCCACTTTCTTTCGTTCCTCGACCTTCGTGTGTGTGTTACATTTAGTGTGGCAACTTCCAGTGTTGCACGTCTACGCAAAGGTCTGAATTGAAACTCATTCAGTTATTCAGTCATTATTTTTTTTTATTATCATCATTCTGAAAAGAATAGGACAGACATACCCTTTGACCATCTTCACGAAAAATAGATGGCCTTACAGTTCCGTCAAAAAAAAATGTCTAGACTCTCGTCAAACTATCAACCAGGATTCATCTTCAAAAGCCACAAGAAAATTCAGCCTACGATCGGTGAAAAATATTGCCAAAATTATAATGAAAGCTTTAAAGCTTTAAACAATGCGAAAATAAATGTTTCTGCAGAATAATGTGAAGTCATCATTTTTTTTACTTCATTGGATTCTCTTCAACTGCTTACAACCTAAAAGTTGATCGTATCAATGTATGTAGAATTTTGTCATACTCACTTTCAAGGCTCGCCACGATTTTTGTTAACAGAGCACACGTGTTAATAAACAGTATTCAAAAGTTCCACTTTTATATAACTTATAAAAGGAGGAGGTCAAGATTCCGACAAAATACAAACATTTAAAATTGATTCATGGATAATCCCCATCCAGGCATTAATGAAAACAAAACATGTAGTTCAGCGAGGACTCTCTTTTCGGCGGCGAATTTATTTTCATAGCTGTACAATCGTAAATATATATATATATAGTTGTTTTGTATGTGTGTACATTAAATTTTTCAAACAAAAATAGTTGGAAGCCGTGACCAGTAGGGTACAGCAGGTTGAAGATGAGGCAGTAACTCATCGAAGAAGACACTGCGAAGTGGTTGCGCTATGTCGTGAACTGGCAGAAGTTGGAATTCATGAACTATTGGATCGGGTCCCAGTGGCTCAATGGTCTACGAGCTCGCCTTGTAACCAGAAGGTCCTGGGTTCGAACCCTGTCGGTGTGTGCGTACTTCTGAAGAGTCCCAAACTAGAACGAAACAGCTGTCCAGTACTTATAGCTGGTTTTCCAATGGTTCTCTAACTGATGTCAGCTCATGGTGAGATCCTCCATACAATCAAGAAATACAATTGGTTATGGTTATTTTAACTAAACAAATGAAGATTGGTATTTGGGGTTACATAATACAAAATTGGTCACGAAAATTAGGTTTTAATGAAATTAGGGTAGTAACAAAAGTGTAATAACATGAATAGTTTGATGAGTGAGTTTTACTCAGGATACACATAGGCGCAAAGAAGAGAATACGGAATTACGTAAGAGTTCTGAATGAATACAATAATTATAAGCAATTAAATAACAGGCAAACAAACAAAATTAAGTCATCAAAAATCAACAAAGTTGTTACCATGACAGTAGAGGCTGTTGAGTAATTCTGTTTTGTATGCACAGTTCGGTTTTTCTATGTGAATGGCCAGAGCTTCAGTGATACAAATAAGACGAAATCGTATTGCCTTAGTGATATGTATCCACATATATATTTATGTGTGTGTGTGTATGTTGATCTCTCTTTCTGTTTGCTCGCTTAGTCTGTGACCATTTCACTTGTATGAACTTGTCTCCTTTATCAATGTATATTCCATTTATATTATATATAATATGAGTGTTGTTGACAGTCCGTTGCTTGGTGACATATATCCATATATGGTTGTTTGACATGTCTGCTATATATATTTTGTTATATATATATTTCGTTCACACATTCTGTGTGAACTACTTTACTTACTTACCACTTTGGTGTGAGACCATTTATTTTCATCTCCTTGTGTTTGGACAATAGAAGTATCATCGCAAACCTAGTGGTCTTCTGATTTCCGCCTTCTCGCGTCAGGACTATTAATTTCTCGACCCGTCCATAACAATAACTTAGCGACGAGTACATAACACTTAGGTAGGTTATCCTTGAGTCTGTAGATTACTTTGAAGCGGGAGGCGTTTGTTGAGATAGAATGATCGATCAGTGTTAACCAGGTGTTGTTTAATTATCGCACCCTTTATTGCACCACTATTGCCTTTTCGCAACTATGCTGGATAGTGTTCTTAATCTTCTTGAACAGTGTGCGCGTCGAACTATTTATTTATATTTATATATTTATTTAACTATGTATCTGAACTATATTTAAAATTGAGTTGCACAGTAAAAACAAGAGGAAAGAAGTTGATCATGAGCCCTAGTGTGGTGAGTTAAACTCAAGTCATGGAAAGAAAGAAAAACTGAATTCCACCAAAGCGTAACAGGATGCGGTGATGGAGGTGGAGTGGAGTAAAGGCAAAATATTACGTAGTCAATTGAGATGAGGAGATCAGACGCTGGGTTAAATTAAACCACCTGCCTCATAGAAGACAATCACACTAATAACAGATATATAATTTTCCCTTTCTCTTTTCCTCTCCTCATATTAGTCACTCAGTACTATCATGATGAGATGTCGAGAACAATTTATTCTACAATATAAACAAATGGATCATGCTGTTGGTCTTAGTTTTCGTGATAGTTTTCATTTTGCACTAGTCGGGCATTTACTCAAAGGATTTCGTCATCCTGATGCAAAAACTGTTGGCAGAACTATACGTGTATTAAATCTACTGTTAAGTATTGTTGCTAAACCAATTAATCGGTGAGTAGATTATTATTATTATTATTGTAGTATTATTGATATTATTGTTCATTTCTAAGGTTCCTAGTGGAACACTTCCATTGTATTCTGTTTTCTCTGGTCTTTTCTTTCTGACTATACTATCCTCCACGGGCTTTAATTTCCTCTTCACATGATCTCCTCTGTATCATCCTTAGACAATCAACTCGTCACCTTCCCTTCGGGTTTCACCCTAGGGCTTGGTATGTTGTGTTGCATAATCGCTTACTGAGGGATTACATGTATTGCCCTACTTACTATTACCTTTGTTATGACTTTAAAACAAACTTGACCCTGAGCGGAAGTTATCCATTATTATTATTAATAATTCCTTCACGTTCCCAGTGGAACGGGGAGTTTCAAGCTAGAGGCTTGAAGTTTCTGTAGCAGTGGTGTTTACTTTTATAGGATGGGGTTGCTAGCCTCATGCCCAATCTTTCCTCTTTACCATTTGTTTTCTTTATTTCTGGCTTAGCGAGGTAAAGGAGTGTGACTGTCGCCGGGAATCGAACCCCGGACCATGTGTATGGTCGGCGAGCATCCTAACTGCTGTGCCACCCATGCACGAGCGGAAATTAACAGAAGGCTAACTGAAAATCAGCGAGTGCTCGCCAGTTGTTTTGTCATAGTTTGTTACCTGTCAGTAGGGAGCGTCTACATTACTGAAGCAAATTACCAGACTAATGGCAACATTTAAGAGATTTTCATCATATATCACACCAATCGGTTACCAAATGATAATTAGTAAGCATGAAATATGATCATTTTACTGATTGAGTCGCCAGCATGGTGCATCTAACTTCTTTATTTCAGTAATAAACATTAACACTTTCTTGACAGTAATTTTATCGTTGTTGCAAACCATAAAGATGATGATGAATCGGTGAATGGGGACTAGCAGTAGAATCTCGGATGCTTATTCCCTCCTATTTGAATTAAATAACAAATTATATGGGTTGCACAAGAAGTGGCGATTTTAGTGGTCCAAGTGAGTGGTCTAGTGGATAACGATTTCGCGTTTGAAACTATGGGTATTGGCTTCTAGCCTCAGTGGTTCCCCCTGAAGGACCACTCTCGTTGGGGATTGTAGGTGTATCCAGATGACGAGTAGTTCCAAATAGGACGAAATGTGCATCTTGAATTTCACTGGTAGTCACCATCCACCAAATTACTTCAGGTTAAACCCTAAGACATCATCGAAGCATCCTCACAAGGAGCCTACATTCCAACTGAGGCTGACCATTTCCGTCCAATCAAACAAGAAGAAATTACAAATTGAATTAGATAACAATTATTGTTTAGTGATAAGAAATATCTCAGATATCTTTACTTAGTGTTGGAGTAGGGGGGGTTAAATCAATTAGAAATAATGATTTATTAAAGTTAGGAATACCAGATCGTTAGTCACTTGACGTAACAACTGAAAAATCTGTCTGACAATCATTTCTGTCTTCTACTGAAGTCACTAAGAGTTGTGCAATTGTTTTTCATTTCTTTGTATTCTAAATGGAATATATGGCTTCATGTTTTAAATTTTCAGTAGCGAAAGTGTGGTTTTCACGGAGAGGGATCGCTAGACTTACGACGGCGACACTTCCTCTTTATAAGGCTTACTACAGGTTAGTACACACTAGATGGTGTTTAGAAGTGCACCAGCTGGGAATCGAAACTGGACCTCCCACATGTGTATTGAGAATTCTACCTATCACCCACCGAGGCACTAGAGTTATACAAAGATTTACTATATATCATCAAGGACGAAATTATTCTTTACTGTAAAGGGAACTGAATTCATAGTAAGTTAGTTATTATTAATATTCCCATGGGAACCAAGGGAAACATACGGCTTCAACAGCACATCTCCACTTTATCCTATTCTCTGGGGACCTCTTTAGATGGCCCCATGAATTCCCAGAGTTTGTCATTTCCTCCTTTCATGACCTCCTCCGTGTTATCTATCGGGTCCACATCCGACTCACCATCTTCTATTCGGGTACCACTCGAGCGATGGCTTGACGTGTGATGTCATTCGACGGTCTCCTCAGCGTGTGTCCGATGTATCTCCATTTTCTTCGCTATAATTTTAGGGCACTGGGTTCTTTATTGGTTCACTTTTAGAGTTTCTTGTTACTAATTCTTTCTGGCTGGCTGGCTATCTGATCTTCATTATGGAGAGAGTGAGTGAAGCTGGTGCTTGAAAGCAGTCTGAGGTAGTAGTCTGTCGGAAATGCCTTTCGTAACGCGCTCACCAAGTTTCTGATCCATATAGAATAAAATCCGAATCTTGTCCTCTATGCTGAGTTCAAAAGATTTCTAAACTCAATTCAGAGTGATGAAGGTCTGTCTTGCCTTTCAGACGACTCTGGTATTGACATCTTCATCCGTTCCATCCACCTGTACCTGAAACAATGATGCCCTAGATAAGTGAAGGAAGTAACCTCTTTCAAAATTCTTCCTTTGATAGTGATTGGTGTTTGTTGTTGTTGTTGTTAGTCGCCGTGCATCTTCATCACCTGCATTTTCTCTATGTTCACTTGAAATCCTTACGATCTTCGCTGACTGCCTCTTCTGCCAGTTTGTTTGTTTTCTCCTGTAGACATTGGTCGTCCAGGAACTGTAGGTCTTCTAGATTCTTCTTATCTGTCCAGTGTATTCCTGTCTTCTCGCTTCAAGGCACAGTCTTCCACATAATCCAGTCCATCACAATAGGGAATATCATCGGTGTTAGTTAGCAGACAGCCTTTTCATAATCTTGCCTTCATTTCAAAAGCTTCACTGAGTGCTCCGTTGTGGACCAGTTGACACGTGGCACTGTCATATAGGCGTTAAATTAGAAATTAAAATTAGAATTTCTAAATTAATATGGTTAGTTGTCAGTGTCTACAGATTTACTAAGCTTTGATAGTTGAATTATTTGTGTCACCCACTTTCACACTGTCTAATTAAGCCAACCAGCAAAAACGAACATTCAAACGTGATCTACTTGATGTCATGGTTACAAGTAAGAATGTTATGCAGAATGCACTACTCACTGATTTAGCTAGTTAAAAACTATTCATTCACTCATTTTATATCGTTTGCTAGTCATATTTAATTATAATAATAATAATAATAATAATAATAATAATAATAATGATTCACTTTATTCCAAAAACAGTACTTTTGATACAGAATGGAATTTTCAGCACATATCTACAATATTGCATCCAAATTCCTCAAATTATAAATAAAATTAATCACACAGAAAAATTCCCACATTTACAATAGGGGTAATGTCAAAAACATGCAGCATATAAAATGGAAATAATAATAATAATACAAGTGAAAAATTGCCGCGGGCTTGTTTCACACAGTATTGTCGATGCGGTATAGAAATCCTAGCATGTTTAAAATTATTGAATATAATGTTCTCTTTACATGATATGGTGAGGGGAAAAACAAAGATTACAGCAGTCATAGAGATAAGTTGGTGTTTGCAATTATGAGAGTAAAATAAATAAGCAACAGGAGCATAAATATAATAGAAATAATAAAAGTAAAACTTGAAGGTGTCTAAGGATGAATGGAGGAAATTGTTTATTTACTAGATGAAAAAAAATGTTAGTTAGTTCTTGCCTGACGCTATTTTCATCACCTAAAATACGTGCCAAGTATGGTATCATAGAATTTCTATACTTAGACGTGCGAGCATACAGTTTTCTGGAGTTACTTCTTGTTCTACCTGAGGAGATGCAAGGTGAAAGCTGAGGGAGGGTAAAGTGGATGCTCCAAGTCAGACAAAATCCCTCTAGCAAATTTATTGCACGAAGTCAAGTGCCTATCGACAACGACGTTAACTATGTGGTCCACTGGGACACCACTCACCCCACTGACAGTCTTCAGCATTCTACAAATTGTGACATAGTCCTTTTTAAGCAAACCAGAAAAGAATAAGGGTGGACAATAAAGAAGAATAGGTAGGATGCAAGAGTTTATGAACTGTAAGAGGAGGAGGGGTTGAGTTACATCCGAGTGCCTTAACTTCTTAATGTAAAATGTCAGTCGGAATATTTTACTGGAGATCGCTAAGACATGGGAAGACCAGGAGAGATCGGAAGAGAGAATAAGTTCGAGATACTTAATTTCTGATTTGATTCCTATATCATTGTCGTCAATCTTACAACTGTCATGAGAATCGATGACTTCTTTTAACTGTCGTTTACATCTTAAGCTGAAATCAACAGTTTGACACTTAGAAGGATTCAGTTTAAGACCGTTAGACTCAGACCATTTGCTGACTTCCGATAGAAAGCTATTTATTTTAGTACAATCTAGCTGGGAGTTAACAGCCATTGAAACCGTTAAATCATCAGTGTATTTCACAAAGTTTATTTCATCAGAGTGAGACAAGGCATGCAAGAAGAAAGAAAAAAGAAAAGGAGAAAGGACAGCGCCTTGAGGGACACCAGCTTCAGTAGGCAATGAAGTGGAAGACTTCCCTTTATATTCGGTGTTCTGCTTTCTTTCTGATTTCACATTTTTCGTCCACATTTTCTCGGAAACTTTATAGTAGAACTGTAGTATTGCTTTTGAAAAAATTGACAAATTCAGTCATTTTTGAAAGAAATAACACAACTCACCAAAAGCAGTGGCTGAATCATCGTAGACAAGATTTCAGATTACTTCAGCCTTAACACCAAAAAGATATTTCATGATTTTTTGATTGAAAGACAAATTAATGAATTAATAAGCCTAATTGTATATACTGTTTTAGATGACTTGTTAAATTTTTCTCTTTTGTAGAGATAAATATCAAGTTAGCCATGAGAGTATAGCCTATCTGACAGCTCTACTGCCGGTATCCGAGGAAGTGAGAAAACGATGTCGACTGAAATTTCGTATACCAGGTACACTTGTCGGGACAGGGGAACAAGAATCACAGTGTCCTACAAGTCAACCGAATACACCGTCAAATACTACCACTGCCACTACTAATACTTATACTAATACTGGCAGTAGTACTACTAATATTTCTTCTACAACAATTCATACAACAAAGCACCAGTCGTCTTTTCCAAGTACAATCTATTCAAGTAATATTGATTGGGTCGGTTCTGATGAAAGTCTGATTGATTCATCCTCTCAACAGACTAATAATCAACGTGGGCATAATTCTTCCCTCAGTTTGATTAAAGCATTATTGCCGAATCCTTTAATTCAATCAAATTTAAGCCAAAGAAATAATCGTTCACGACCAGAGTTGAATACAGGCAACTTTTCTCCAGCTAATAATCTAATCCCAAGTGGTGATTTCACTCATCAACTACTTCTTCGTCCAACATTAGAACGTCAAGGCATCGGTATCACACAAGAAACAGTAAGTATTTTGAAGATTTAACTTGTTTAGTGTGTTGTTTTTTTATTCACCCATATGTTAATGAATTTCGAAATGGTCAGTGAACTCTAAATATTAAATTCCACTTTTTCAATTAGTGAAGTTTCAATGATCACATTGTTATGTAACGCTAGACAGATTGATTATATTTGAATTCTTAGACATCTGTCTTAAACATTAAGTTAAAATGATTAAAGTGTAGATTAAATCTTACGATTATTATTATTGTCACCTAAAATGTGAAAAATAAACTTCATTTTTTAAAATACTTAATTAAAACAATATCTGATGAGACAATTTTTATACGAATTAAGTTATAAAATTATTATTGTCAATGTACAATGTTATATTCTACATCAAGAAGTTAAGACATTCTGGAATAACCCAACCCAACCCTTACTCTTACGATTCCTTAACTCTTGCATCCTGCCTATTATTCTGTATTATTCCCCCTCCCCTAGTTTTCCCAGGGCTACTGAGGAAAGACTATACCTTATTACGTAGTGTTAAAGGTTGTCATCAGGGTAAGCCATAGGGTGCCACTTAACCAGCTTGTTAATATTCTGGTCCACAGGCACATGGACTCATGTGAAAAATGGGCTAAATCCATCTATCTATCTAACTCACACCACCCTCTTCATTCACAACTCGCCCCTTGTATCTATCTCATCAGGCAGAACCACAAGCCTATATAGAAAACTATATGATCGCACTAGCCAGCGCAAAAACTCAACCATACCCCTACTTGGCTCGTGTTCTGTGCGATAAAGGAAGCATTAGCCGTGAAACTTATAATTTATTAAATAGTCAGTAGAATAACTGGATCTCGTCTTTCCAACTCATATCATTTATAGGTACAGCGTTTTCTTTCTTTCTTTTCCTTTTCTCTCATTTTTCTGTTGTTTGCTGCTTTGTTCCTCTCTTCTGTACAAACTCTATTTAAAACATTCTTCTTTGTTCTTTCACACTCTGTATCTTATCACAAGTACTGTTTTGGAATAAAGCAAATTATTATTATTATTATGCTGGATGACTTTATAGGCGTATTTGGATGCCACTGACATCGACCGGTAGTGTGTTTGCTAGCTGACCAGACAGCCAGCTAGTCAGATTGAGGTGATGTAAACACTGGACGGCTGTTTTGCTTGTACTCGTGGTTTGACTGGACTCGTGAAACCGAATAATTTCCAATGTGAATAATGGTATCCAATTACTCATATATTCATCAACCAGTAGTATGTAACATCGTGCATTTTAGCTTGCTGTCTTAATTACCATTTATGGTATCAAACAGATTACATATTGTGATCCAGAAAATTTTGATTTCCAAAGGAAACTGTAGTGAAATTTCATCTCTTTGAACTATGTACATTGCAAGTTGAATTAACAATTTGATTTAATATGATCCGGTGAAATTCCAAGCTGAAAGGTAATTAATTGTTAGGGTTAATTTGAAGACTTCTGTTTGATTCATGAAGAGAGTTGATGTTGTGCACTGACACACACTGGTTATTCAATTTTATGGTGATCCTTGGTTGGAAATTAATGGGATATTGCATTCAATGGAAGATACGCATTTAAATAAATGTTAACTTCCAGGAGTAGTAAAAAATTATATTTGTAAAATCTCAGCGAGATTGAAATGAGTAATTCCAACATTCCATTCGGCAATCTGGTCCAAACTTTTTCAGGGAAATTAATCGAAATTAACACAACAGAGGTTAATATATAAGAGGAACATCTCTTGTTGTAAATTATTTGTCCTGTGGAAAGAATCATGAAACAAGTATCAACAAGTATAATGAACAAAATTTTATGAGCTGTGATCAAAATTTGCCCTCGGACTTACAAATATTGCTCTACTTTTGTTAAACACTTTAAACAGAGTGTGTATGTGTGTGTGGGGGGGGGGGTAAATAGTTGTAAAACATCTCTTAACGTCTCCATAGGAAGATATAAACAATCGGGAATTTTGACCAAGTATTATTAATTAGTGATACATATCCATTCTTACTTATTAATGAGGATTTGCCATGCATCAGCCCTAAAGCTCACACCTTCATGTCTGTTCAAACTGCTAGTATCTAGAATTTTATGATTAGATGTATTTTCAAAATTATGGTGTTTAGGATTAGAGTTTGGTTGAAACACCCTGTCGAACTTATTGCTTTGTCTTCTTTCTGAAGATTGAGCTGCTTTATTCAACCTACTGTTATGTTAAATTAGATTAATTTCCCTGAAGAAGTTCGGACCAGATTGCCGGACGAGACGTTGGAATTACTCATTTCAATCTCCGGCTGAGATTTTACAAATATAAATTTTTACAAATGTCTGCTCCTCACTCGACGCTCAAATATTTTAGAACTATTCTTTCAAGTCTTGACAACAGTTCATTTGAATTTCGGGGGTAATATTTTAAGATTCCTCTATCTCCAGTTAACTGACTTATATAGTTCTGATTTATTACTAAAAAGCCTACTAAAGACTATAAAGTCTTACTTAGTTTTTATGTGTTGACTAATAATATTGGCACTGTGAATATAGGTGTTTTGGTGTTGGAGTATTCCCCAACCACGCAAGTTGTCTGCAATTCGATCCAACGTACCGATGTGCTCGTAAACCCGCCTAACTGGTAATAAACCCGGTAAATAGATAGGGTTGGGCGTAAAAATAAGACTACTGCTACTGAAATTTCAGAGCTCAAACTTGAAGCCCTACCTTCTACTTCGGGAAGTAAAGGAATAGGATAAAAATAATTTTTGAATTCCTATTTCATACTTTAGTAAATTGCCACTTCATCAGTCTATCTCACATGAACACCAACATCAACAACAACAACAGACAACAATCAGCATAAATGCGAGGAACCTGAAAGAAAAAACCTCCTTTACCTACCCACCTGACTGGGAAGCATCGTTTCAAAGAACAGGCTGACGGAACTGATGAGAATCGGGAAAGCAAGATGGGTTTTCATTACTCTCAAGTCTGTGTGCAGGAGGTCAACGGCACTCATCATGAAAAATAAGGTCCCGATTTTCAACTCCAGTGTGAAGTCAATGCTACTTACTATACGGATCAGAGACTTGGCGAGCGCGTCATAAAAAGCACCTCAAACAAACTACAGACCTTCATTAACAACTGTCTTCGCTCAATACTCAAGATCAGATGGCTGGCCAGAAAAGATCAGGAACAGGGATCTTTGGTACTGAGCGAACCAACCCAGCAGGAACCATTTGTGCAACAAATAGGCAGGAAGAAATGGAGATGGATTGGCCATACTCTGAGAAAACAAACCATCAAGTGACATCACACGCAATGCAGGCCATCACTCGAGTGGTAGGTGAATGGGAAGCGGCGAGTTGGTCGTCAGTGTGTGGATGACTTCAAGGAGGTCATGTGAAAAGGAGATAAAGGCATGTGGGCAGACTTGGAGCTAAGTAAAAACTGTAGCAGAGAATCGAACTCAATGGAGACGCGCGGCTGAAGCCCTATGTTCCTCTATAAATTTAAGGAAATAATAATAATAATAATAATAATAATAATAGAATTTTTCCTTAGAAATTGACTGATTAAGTGGATAAACCAGTCAACATAATGATGATAGTCAATATTAAAGTAACATTATATTGCTTTTCTTTAATTCCTTCTTAATAGAATCAAGCTCACTTAACTTATCAACAATTATCTAAGCGTCAACAAGGCATTCTATGCACTACAGATAGTTTACGTTCACGTTCTATTGACGAGTGTATATCAGGCAATGTAATTGCTACAAATACTGAACGATATGGTACTGCTAATTCATCACAGCATAATAAAGATGAGACAGTAGATAATCAAGTAGTGGTTAATGGTAGTGAATTTGATGAGAGCGGTAATCAGATTAATCAAAGAGAACAACAATTATTGCCAAGAAACATGCCATCAGAACAAAAACCGCCAACTGGTGTTCTCCTTGATCCAAGTATACTTACAGATGAGGCAACTCAAGCTTTAACAATTGCTGTACTGGTAAGAATTTATTCTGTTTATTTTGTTGTTTTTCCACTTTGTCTATTTTTTTATTTTGATTATTGCTTGATTTCACACTGTATTTTTGGTACAAGTATGGGATTCTCAGCATGTGATATTGGTAGCCCAAATTCTGCAGGTCGACCATAGATATCAAGTGTGCTTCGTCGGCAGGGAATCGAACCCCGGATTATGTACATGGTCGGCAAGAGTCCTAACCACTGTGCTGCCGACGCACAATATATAATATAACTTAATAGATTATGGTTTGGTGTTTGAGGTGTTGGGCGCTGGGTTTGAGGAGTCTCAGTGAAAATGCAGATACATCCAGCTGACGACTAGTCCCAGTTGTGACGAAATAAGCATCTTGCGTTTTAGCGCTAGTCAACCAAAACAAATATTAGAGAGAAAAGAGCAGGAAGCTCAGAAAAGTTATCTTTTCACCGATTTCATTCTCAGAAGCTGTAAAATCGCATTTATATCGCATAAGTTTACATAGACACAATTATTCTTATTTAACCCCCCCCCCACTTGATAACAAAGGTGATTAAAGGTGACAATAATGTTCAGATTGATATGACAATCTGGAGGTGTTTAGCATAGCTTACAACTGGCTTAGAAGTAAAGTAGTAAAGTAGTTGAGTTATATGCAAAATAATTTTTGAACGAAGACAGGTGTTAGATGGTTGGAGACAATCAGCCACAGGAAGCCTTGCTCGACCTAGGTTTCGTGCTAGCTGGCGCTCACTGGTCAGCAAGGCGTATCTGCAACCTTGGAGGAACTCATGTCCCCTCTCTGAGGTTCGAACCCGCGTCACCCAGTGCTGCAGTCAGAGACGTTACCACTGAGCTACTTGGGTTGGCTACTGACCTCCTGTAGGAATGTAGTGAATGCTTTGTTTTCTCTCCTGACCCCATTTCGAGAAGCAAACACTGACGTATATTGATGTCTACAATTTTGGCTGGCAGACAGCTCTCAGCACACCACCACCACCACACATCTCCACATGTTTGCAACGATTTAAGCTGATAAGCTATGAGAACCAATGAAATATGTGCTGGCCGTGAATTACATATACATTTGTAATAATTAAGAGAAATGATTTAGAATATACCAATAAATTAATAAACAACATATTTGAAGACATCAAATGCATAAGCGAAGAAGAATTAGATAACAAAATCCCATTTTTAGATGTCTTAATCAGGAGAATCAACACAGGAAATTTTGAAACACAAGAAAATCAATGCACACAAATCAAATACTCAACTATACTAACAATAATCCAATTACTCACTGTTATGTACTGGTCGAGAATTTAATAGTCCTGACGCAAGAAAGACGGAAATCAGAAGACCACTGGGTTTGCGATGATACTTCTATTTTCCAAACACAAGGAGAATCAACGTCACACAAGAGTGTGAGAGTAAAAATATGAATGTCCGAACAAGTGTGTGAGCGAATATTCAAAATGAACAAATCAATAGACAGTCTTAACATGATTGGCTAATTATAATGGAATATCAATCCATATATACCTAGCAAATATAACAGATTGTCAAACAAACACACATATTATATGGATACATATCACTCACAAAAGAAACTGTGTGCAGACATTGTTTAAAAGAGTTCAAAAACATTGTAGTACTTCAGAACTGAAAAGAATGGATGAAAAATACCTAGAAACGGTCTTTAAAAAGAATGGTTATTTAAACATTTCATCAAAAAGTGTTTAAAGTCGAATCACAAAACCAACAAGGAACCATCCTCAAAAGCCACAAGAAAATTCATCCTACCATACATGACAAATAACTCTGAAATAACAGCTAGAATACTGAAACCGTTCCACATAGATATAGCACACAAACCAGTCGAATCGCCTAATTCGACCTTATGCAAAGGAAAAGATCCAACAGAAAAAGGAGATGAAACTAATACCATTTACAAAATAAATTGTGCGAGCTGTAACAGGCATTACATCTACCAAAGTGGGCGTCCCAATCGAATCAGAATCTAGGAACACAAATCAGTCATGAAAAGACAAGATATGTATTCTTTCATATCAATGCACATAGACAATTATGGGCATCAATTTGATTGGGACAATGTCGAAATCTTGCACAGAGGAAACACCAAAAGTGCAGTCAGAGAATTCTTAAAGGTCTGGTGTACTCAAACGAATCAACCAGCGATTAAAAAACATGTTAATATAGACGAAATATACCAACTAATAAAAAATAAATCATGTGACCAGAAAGTTTAAAATCTAAGTCAAGTGGTCAATACATATCTAAAGATGGTTACCGGGAGACGCAATTATATCACTCATGAAGAAATTTAAATCATTTCACTTTATGCTAAATATTGCGCTGAAATGGGATGTTGTCCAGAAGGGTGGACGACGAAATATCCGCAACTAAACCAACCAGCTCAGAGAAGACTATTAATTGCAAATCATCCACCTGAGCTACAAATCTTCTCTATTATTACATACACTACTTAATTGTCCCATTATTTGTTGTTGTTTTCTTAACATTAGACTACTTTGGTGCGTTATACAACAGATGAAAATGAGTCAAGAGTTTTGTATGAATTCTTAGCAGATGCTTCTATGGTTTTTCCTCGTGTATTTCCTGTGATGTAAGTGAAAACGTTTGTTCAAATTATGTGATATATATCTACATTTTATGAGTAATACACCTCTGACTAATTACATACTACCACTTGAACTTAGATGATTAAAAAGAAATGCTTTCATAGAAATAGAAAAACAAAGTAGTTTCGGGAAACTATTATATTCCCCAGTTTTATCAGTAATTTAAATTTTGAAATCGAGAATACTAGATGATGGTTAAAAAGGTCCAATAGACAATTCAAATAAATTAACCTAACTTATATTGTTTACATATTTGCGATATATAGCTCGACGGCTAGTCAATACCACCCGGTGGGTAATTGTTCTCTGAAATAGAGGTAGTTTTGAAGACAGCGTAATTCAGCCGCACGTAATGTTCCTTTTGTCGCATTCTTTAAGTGTTGTCTTGATGTCTCACTGATGTTATCCCCGAGGAACTGACGTTGTGAGAACAAGACCTTTTTCGGAATAGTTTGTCCTTAGGCCTACCTTGACTTTTGATTCATATTCTTATTGATGAAGTTTTCTGCGTAATCACTCTCTGTCAGCAACTTTTTAATAATATTAAACTCTTCATTGAGACAATTATCAGAGCAGATTTCTGTTGGCCTGTGAACCAAGCACTTTATTACTGACCAGTTGATAGAATTCAGTTTGCACCATATTATACTTAGTTACTGACTAATCTCCAATGAAAATATTGCATAACTTCCTGTCTTCTCTTTTTTCTTTTTTTTTCTTCACACCACAATAGACACAGTTTGTTAGATTCAAAAATCAACTATGTTCTAACACATTGTCATGATCAAAAAATTCTAAGCGCTGTTCAAAGTATCATACAAAATATGATCAGTAGTGGAGAAACCTCTGTACAACAATTACACTATTTGCAAAGTAAGATTATATATCTATTGTACATTTGTGATTAATATATATTTTAATTTTTTTCACAGCCTCTCATAACCAAATAATAACTATTGGTTACATATTTGTTTTCAAACTTTGGGAATATATTCGGCTAAGTTACACAGTTTAAAACAACAGTTTGACTATTATTTTGTTGGAAGCGTATAGATTATTGCAAGTACGTGTATCTAAAAATCTGCGATCTATGTAAGAAAGTGCACAACAATAATCACCATGGGCGAAATTTGGAGGAAATCACCTCTTTCCCTTACCTGTTTCTAGATGGCGTGAGTGATAATGGCAAATCCAACTGATAGGAACCAGCATAAGATAGTGTGTCATCCTTTATCACGAACTGTGTGATCTATCTTGTGATGAACTTACCATATAAACCCATTATTTCTCACGACAGTTACTCATCAGAGACATTGCTAAGCGGTCTCCCTATGTCGTCAATTGGTAGATGTTAGAATTTATGGCCTGGTCATTGTATCGGGTCCCAGTGGCTTAGTGGTATACGAGCTCACCTTGTAACCACAAGGTCATGGGTTTGAACCATGGTGGTGAGTGCGTACTGATGAATAGTCCCAGACTAGGACGAGATGGCTGTCCAATACTCCCTGGAGGGCATTCCAATAGTTCTGTAACTGATGTCAGCTCATGATGAAATCCTTCAACCATTTAAACGAAATCCCTACAAACCAATGCTTGATAATTACTGTAAAGTTTAATTAGTACTTCATATAAGCTAATATTATGCACAGCATGTCCTTTCCAATCAGAGGAATTATGATCTAATAATTACACGAATGAATAGCTTACAAGAATTCATGCATTTCGAATTTTATGAAGCTATTTTAATTTTCAAGTATTGGTTTTTTAGAGATTTTGTTTGATTGCATGGAGGATTTAATCATGAGCTGACATCAGTTAGAGAACCACTGAAAAACCTGGGAGTACTGGACAGCTGTTTCATCCTAGTTTGGGACTCTTCAGCAGTACGCACCCACCACCAGGGTTCGAACCCAGGACCTTCTGGTTACAAGGCGAGCTCGTAGACCATCGAGCCACTAGGACTCGATCTAATGACTAGCTCATGAATTCTAACTTCTCCCAATTCACGATATAGCGCGACCACCTCGCAATGTCTTCTTTGATGAGTTACTGCCTCATCTTCAACCTGCTGTACCCTACTGGTCACGGCTTCCCACTAGAACCCCAGGTTAACTGCCTGAATAGGGCCAGTCACTAGTGAGCATCAGAATAATTTTCAAGTATTGGTTTTGTAGGGATTTTGTTTGATTGCATGGAGGATTTAATTATGAGCTGACATCAGTTTAATTTTATTTATTCTCAGTACTATTAGGTTAGGTTTATTGATGGGGTGGTCTATCTGATATTGCCTTAGGTTGTAGAACTCTATTGATGATTGAAGATGGAATATAAATCTGGCTCACGACAGGATTCAAACTAATGGTCCATGACTTAGTTAGTCTGCAACTTTAACATTCATTCACATGACGGTTGGGTAGTACTCAGGGTGATTTAATAGATATATATGTATGTAATGAACTTGTTAGCATAGCTAAGTTTTGTATATCACCTGGTAGACCGGCAGACTAGTAATTCAGAGATCAAGAGTCCAGATCTTATCATGATGATCCAGATTTGATTTCACCTTTATTCATCACTCATGTTATGTTTTATTTTATCATTAGTTCACTTCAGTACCTGACTTATTCAGTTCCATATGGATTCTGTTTGTTTATGTAATTCATTTTTATTTCTCTTGTATTCCCCAGGTATCGGTTTTGGTGGACTTTGGAGGTTTTCAGGACACTTTTCAAAGGTGAGTATGTATAGTGTCTTATATTTTTAAACACACCTTAAGGCTAAAGTGTTGATTGATCGTGCTGCTAAGATCTTCAATATAAAAGCATATAAAGTGTATTACTGTTGTAGTTGTTTTAAAAATACCGTACATTTGTAACATTTTTTATGTCTTGAAAATATTTCTCTTCAATGAATTCTTCTAAAAACACAGTAATTACTAACAGTATGACGACTGAAGCTGAATTCAGTGAACTCATTATTTATATATTTAAAGTTATTCAGTGTGTCAGTGTTGTTCATCCCACCTAACTTCAAATAACTTCAATGTTAACGAACAATAAATGCACACCATATTTTTAAGACGGTAAATCAATTGATCAGTAAACTCACTATTTTAGCTTCATGCCTTTGAAGTGCAAACACAATCTATTGAAGTGCTAGGTCCACAGACCAACAGAAATCTGCTCTGATAATTGTCTTAATGAAGAGTTTAATATTATTAAAAAGTTGCTGAGTAAGAGTAGTTATTCAGAAAAATTCACCGATAAGAATATGAATCAAAAGGCTAGGTAGGCGAAAGTACCAACTATTACAAAAAAGGTCTTGTTCTCACAACGTCAGTTCCTCGGGGATAACATCAGTGAGACATCAACACAACATTTTAAGAATGCGGTAAAAAATGGCATTAAGTGCTGTTGAATTATAGTGTCTTCAAAACCATGTCTATTTTGCGTTTGGGAGTTGAAGATAAACTGTCTAATTTCGTCTCTTCCATGTGTATATACCAATTTTACTGCTCCGGTGGGGAGCCAGTCACATAGACCGTACAATTAGACGTGTTTCTCGATGGACTTCTGAACACCATCGTATAAAGTGCTAGGTAAGAAAGGGACAAACAAAATCTATTGGTAGCTGTATTCTATCTCATCTCGTGAATGCATGACACAAGATTGATGTTAACGATGCCTTCAAAGTCATCCACCATATGACAACTGATCTTAATTTTACCTCGTCTGTGACATATTGCTGAGGCTGTCGGAATTCACATTAAGAAACCTAACTCATGCATCTAGAAGAAGTCTGTTCAAACGCTTTTCTTACTTTTACCATCGGGATTTTAACTATCCTCAATTTGTTGCTTAAATTCCCTTAATTTTATTTAATTTTCTTTTTGCTATTGCATTTTTATAGTTATTATAATGTATGCATCTTTAGTGAGCTGTAATTCCATGGATCTTACTTATCAAATCGATATTATATAAAAAACAACTAATACTGTTATTGACTACTAATCTAGAATATTCTATGTATATAAACATGTACATAATTATCGACCCAGACGAGGAAGTTATCGGAAAGGATATTCTTTGCTCGATTTCATTATTTTTAATTGTTTGTTGACTGGCTGACTGAGTAAGTTTCAACATAGAACTTTGTAAAGACGAGTAGTAGTTCAAGTTACTACACTTCCTGTAGCAGACGAAGGCAGATAACTGAGAGAAAAGCAGAGATTCAAAAGAATCTCAGTAAACAGAAGTATAAAGGAGAAGGAATAGTAACCTGGAACAATAATACGTTTTATTGGATATAGGTGGAATCATAGAGAGTAAATGGCTTTACGTCTTTGACAGCAATTTTGAGCCATATCACTGATAGTCAATCTCCAACCATTAGTTCTCAGCATCTCGACGACCCCAACCAGGCATTCTACATCTGCATACGTGGCGGCTGGCTCAAACCGATTGTCAAGGATTTCATGGACTTGTTAATAGGTTTCAGGTTAACCACCACTAACCGTTTTCCAACCCAATCCAATGTTTGCTAACATTTGTTAGGAATATCTGGGTTTCATGTTAGATGAGTTATTTTTACATAACACACTGTGATATCATATAATTATATGCAATAAATTGTGCTCAAAACACTATCCATTTATCAATACTATATCATTGTGTGCTATATAAAGTAAACTTGTAACGACAGAAGACAAAGGCCAGGAAACAGATCGTTTATTGAAAAAATCAACAGATATTTATAGATTTTTATGTACATTATTATTCGTTATTGTTAGCAGAGAAGCAACGTCTTCTGATTGGTTGTTTTCTAGCTGAAGGTTATTCTGTCTGTTCCGTTTCTTAGACAGTCCGGTGATATGTCTGTGAAACGTATCCGCCCACGCTAAGTCTCCTGTGACTGATTGTTGAGTTCCTCAAGGTTTAGCTTTGTTATTGTTTGTTTTTCTCATGACTCCGATTTAGGACGTAAACATTGACGTAAATTGCTGTCTACCAATTTTGACTAGCAGATAGCTCTCACTGCAAACTCACCTAATATGTAACTACAGTCTACCAGAGTGCTCATATTCTAAACTTAAATTGTATGAGTTTATTGAATGATATGCCTTGTGGTCAGTAAACTTCAGCTGTGTCAAAATCCTCAGTGAAACAAGTCGATAAACTTTACAGTAACAGCCTTAAATAGAGTATATCTTATTTTTTGCGGTGAATCGGTGGTTCAATGGCAGAATGCTCGCTAACCATGTGGAAGGCTCAGGTTCGATTCCCGGCCGACACCCTCTTAAACCTTGCCGTTATCAAACTCGGTTACGAAGGAAGCTTAGGCGTGAGTCTAACATATTTATCCGGTAAAAACAACAGCACCGATACTGAGACTTCAAGGCTGAAGTTGTATCTTCCACTCGAAACGCCAAGAATGAACAAAATCGTGTTGTTGCAATTCTTAGATTTTGTATCACTTTACTTTCTAATTCATTAGTCTATTTGTCAATATTTTGTGGCATTGATATTACAATCACATCAATTAAACCTGAAAATTATCATTGTAAAAATTGCTTTTTATTTTCAAAAGAATGGATACTGATCATAGAAAACTCTTTTCGATAACCCCTTCATCATCAGGCTCTACAGTTATATATACATCCATAATAGTGAACGAACGAATTAGTGTTATTAATAACACCAATGTCGGTTAAATAACGTCGAATCAATAATATTGATAGATTACAGCTCAGTAGCATCAACATAACAATAAGCTGAATGTCAGAAAAATTGGGAAAGATAATATTACAAATTCGTGAATTTATAGTCTCTACTGAAGGCTGGCCAGGGCAGGAGTAGGGGCCGGACTTGTTTCTTTTGAACACAGAGCACTGGTTGTTTGAGGCGAATTGAAATAGCCTCTGCTGTTTGGACCATGTGGTGCTTCGATGATTTCGGCAATTTATTAGGCACCCGGTATAAAACAGAGAAGGATTCTTCAAAGCTGGCTGGCTTTGTGGCCGGTTTCCACCAGATGGTCCAATATCGAACTGTTAATGGTTTTAACTACACCTTTACTTAGCCATAGTGGGATATGTTCTCTAGTGAGCACGAAAAATCAAGTTCCTAGAGCAACGGCCAATATAATTCGCTCCACAAGCGCAGTTTGATTTGTAGATACAATTTGAAGTGACTAGTCTAGTCTAGGTACTTCATCTTTCAGTTGAGGAATCACCATTGATCGTGTAGAAAATAATACGTGTAGTTCGCCGGCATTAAAACTTCTTTCAACTGATTTTCTTAATTTCTTCGTAATTATTTCACTTGGTATTTCGCCCGTGAATTGTAGTCGTATATAAAGCGGCTTCTTGTTTACAGATAGTAAGTAGTCCTTTTCCGCTTTCTTTGTCATGTGTTTCTTGATAAATTTGTCAACATAGGTATTTTCGATCAAAGTATTATATAAAATGCTTTTTATTTGCTTACTTCCTTATCTTAGGCAAATCAAAATGCAGACACTGCTCAATTATTTGTCAATTTTCTTGAAGTATTAATTGATTCACATTTACCTGGTGAAGATTTAAGAACATCGTATACACCAGTTATTGGTTTAAGCAATACAGGACGTGCTGGTAATTTATCCAGTGACTCATCATTAAGTCTGTCCAGTGTACATGGTCCAATGAATGAGATGTCAACAGCTAATGTTGCAGCTGGTGCGACTGTTTCTCATACTACCACGACTGCAAGCAATAATAATAGTAATAGTAGTAATGTTGATCCTCTAACAAATGGCAATGATAAAGATGGACCTGTTTCAATATCACCGATTACATTAGTCAATGTACCATGTGGTTTAGTAAATAATGATCATGAAGAACGCAGAAGTAGTCTGTCCACTATTGGTCCAGTGTCTAAAGATCAACAAGACTTGGAGTCGGAATATTTCAATGCTAGTAGAAGAAGAAGATCTGGATCAAATGTCAGCGGTTTTGAACACATTATGCAAGTATGCTTTAGATTTGTCTGTTTTTTGGGGGGTTTTTTAGTTTTTGAAACGATTTTACCCAGACATTGTTGGTGTATTCACTCAATACCCTGATACTGATTGCTAAAGTCTGTCGTTCTGAATTCATAGAACCACTGGATCGCATCTTCAGTATTAGAATGAATGTCTTTAAGAAAGTATTTATTAATTTAATTTAATTTAATTTGAACTTTATCAGTGATTGATTGGACCGAAGTCCTCGGTCTCTGTTGACATATCGACTCCTTGTGAGGAGGATGCTTCGATGATATAAGTAAAAAACTTGGGCACTGTGTTGGCAGAGTATAACTCCATTATGGATAAGATTTTATTGCGATAAATCACACAGTGGTGCTATACATACAGTAATATTAACTGATGCGATCACGTTTCGAGCACAAACTATTGCTGCTCATGATCATATCATGTCACTCAATCACATAACTTTCTTACTTCATTTATATACGTGAGTGGAATTGATGATTAGACATTTGAATAAAAATCAATATGGGATAATGTACATTCAGAAATAATAAATAATACGAGTGTTATTGATCAAATAGAATCAGATGGGAAATAAGACGAGTATTTTCATGGTCAAAATAAGTAACTTGTTAGAATGTTATGATGCACGTGAATTGAATTGAAATAGGATTTCGAGATTATTTATTATCTTCTTCTGATTCGACTGGCGGTAATAATATCTTCGATATTTCTGACATTTGCATTGAGTCATTCCTAGCAATCGCACTGCATGCATTAACACACAACCACACAATAGCATGGTGGGAGAGGGTTAAAATTCTAAAAAGTAGCATAAGTAGGTGGAGAGAGAGATTGATTACTGAATCCTGCCTGGTTCATCGAGTCTACACCCAACACAACACATGCAACAGAAATGACTGAATGCAAATACCAGAGAAATGCATGGAAGATATTATTACCACGAGTCAGTCAGTCAGTCAATTCAGAGGAGGATAATAAATAATCGTAAAATTCTATTTCAATTGAATTCTCGTACATCACAACATTCTAACAAGTTACTTATTTATTTTGACTATAAAATCACTCGTCTTATCTCGCATCTGATTGTATTTAATCAATAACACTCATATTATTATTATTATTATTATTTCTGAATGTACATTATACTACATTGATTTTATTCAAATGTCTAATCACCAATTCCACTCATGTATATAAATGAAGTAAAAAGTGGTGTGAGTGAGTGCCTTGATATGATTATGAGTACAAGTAATTTGTGCTCGAAACGTTGTCGCATCAGTTAATATTACTGTATGTCTAACACCACTGTGTGATTTTATCAAGATAAAATCTTATCTATAATGCTTCCACGATGTCTGAGGATTAACTTGAAGTAGTTTTTTTAAGGTGACTAGCAGTGGTGGAATTCAGGACAATACGCATTTCGTCCTATCTGAGACTACTCGTCATCTGGATGCACGTACATTCCTCAGTTAGTGATGGTGTTCCCAACAAGTGCCAGTAGTGTCAAACGCCGAAGCGTTATCTACTAGACTGCTTGTGCCACGAGAGCCACCTTTAGTCGAACGGGTTTGAATAATTATTTAGTTGGATTTAGATTTCCCCATCGATTGATTGGACCGAAGTGCTAGCCACCATCCACCAACTGTCTCCATTCAAAACTACTTTTGTGGCTGAAAACTGTATAACTCTTGGTGTGTGTGTGTATGTGAGAGAGAGAGAGATAAAAAGGTAGAGAGAAAGAGGGAGTGTGTGTGTGATTCAAAAATTGTATATCAATTCAAACAAAACTATAGAATCAAAAATGTTAAATGACGCCTCATTTAAATGAATGCACAAACAGAGTAAATGATTTTATATGTATCATTTTAACAAGTTGTACAAAACCATGTTATAATCAACAGAATGTCAGTAAATTACTTATTTTGTCGTGTCATCTCTCTCTATATTTGTTGAGTACAAACATTGATTGAATATATTTTATAGACCGCTGGTAGTGATCATGATGTAAGAATTCTGTTACTTCTTAGTTCCCTGAATAAATGAATAGTTGACATCAGTTAGAGAACCATTGAAAACCAGCACTGGAGTACTGGACAGCAAGCTGTTTTATCAGCCCAGTTTGGGAATCATCGACAGTACGCACTTACCGCCATGGTTCGAACCCAGGACCTCCCGGTTACAAAGCATGCCAGCTCGTATACCATTCAGCCATTGAATCGGGTCCCAGTGGATGAATGGTACACGAGCTGACATGCTGGTTTTCGATGGTTCTTCAACTTATATCAATCCGTGATCAACTCGTAGAAACAAAACTAACCCTTACAAATCAACTATAGAAAATGAATAATGCTCAAATTTCAAATAAATCAAACAAACCGCTTACATATCTATGCACTAAGCTGTAACCTGCATATTATATTACCATTACTGCTTTGAACTCCAAGTGGATCACAAGGCTTCACAGTAGCGCATTTCATCCCGTAGTCTATAGTTCTTTTTAACTGGTTCCTGATACCATCTCCTCCATGTTTTCGCCCTCGAACTAACGCCCAACTCTCATTAGGGTTACAGCACAAGGCCTGGAGTGTAATGCCACTCCAACGGTTTCCTCAGCATATGTCCAGTTTATCCGGATTTCTCCCCTGGTATATATATTGAGTGATAGGTTCTTGGTTGATTCGTTTCCGTGGTTCATTCTACTTACCCTTTCTGACCATCTCATCTTTAGTATGCTGGAGTTGTTGATGAAAGTTTTCAGCAGTCTGTCAAGTCATTGAAACTGCCAAATATTAGTTTGTATAAATGGTTGTAGGTGAAGTATGTCCTTAATACGTGAGATAATTACTCTAGATTTATTTTGATAACTGTTATACGACGTTTACAAGTGTTTTCACAAATATCATTTGATTATTGAAGTTATTCTAGTTGTACCAGGATTGTGATCTTTGAAACTGTATACAATGCTCCCTGTACATATATACACGATATAAGATTTGGTACTATGAGGCTTTACTTTGAGGTTTTCGTCTGGACTGATTTTCCGAGGAAGACTCACCAGCCTTCATACTCAACCTTCGATCTTTTTCCGGGCTGAGGACCGACTAGTAAGCGATATTATGTTATTATTATTATTACTATTCCAATCGGAAGCCAAGGGAATACTAGTAATAATGTAAGCCTGAGTTATGGACTGGTATTTTCCATATTTCTGTTAATTAAAAAAATAAATTCATTCATAAGACTATACTACTCTTCTGGCAGTTTGGAAAAATGTAAGCATCGGGTATATGATATTTATTATTATAAAAGTTTTTATATTTTCCAATGAATGAAAAACAAAACGATATTACTGTTTTTACTAACGTTTCGCTATTTAATGCTGCCAATAGCCTTATCAAAGTATTATTAATGAACCAGAAGTTACAAAATCTCAGCATATATATATATAACAACGTAACCATCATTCCTAAGCATGAGGTCATTTTAACTTTGTCAAATCGGCCACTTGGTGAAGATAACAAAACCACGTGTAGATTGTTCGATTTGATAAGTGTGCAGAATTATAGAAGCAGCGTGTGTTTACATAATGAAATTGTTTATCACATTCGTGTTGATTTTGTCATTTCATGAGGGAGGCCTGGTTTGTAACCAGGTCAAATGCTGTTTCAGTCCATCATTCCTGTTCAGATAATTTGGATGCCATTTGATATGAAGTACTTCTGATGACATGAGACGTTCTTTGTGATTTCTGAAATTTTTCCGGATGATAATTTCAATATTGTCAAAATCAATTTTGTGGCCTGATTCTATAGTAAAGTGTGTAGACCTATGCCTGATGATTTTTCAAGTTTTTCTAGTTCAACTGGATTTCCCGGTGGTCGAAGAGACGCTCAGTCTATGGTGTTGATTTCTTCTGATTTTGATTTCTTGTGATGTTTGTCCGATGTATATCGCATCATATTCGAAGCATTTTATTTTATAGACACAATTAGATAGAGAATCTTTAAGGATTTGGTCTTTTTAAGGACAAGGTTGTCTCGCAGTGTATCTGGTATTTTGAAGAAAACTCTGATGTACAGCTGATTGAGTACTCTTCTGATATCGTCTGACACTTCCGATCTATATGGAATGAAAACTGTTTGAGGTTCATGTCTTCGGAATACGTTTTTGACTATATTCAGTGATGGTGTTGATTTTGTTGATGAAGTTCTTTGGGTAGTTGTTTTCCTTTAGAGTCTCAGTAATGTTTGATATTTCTTCTTTTTTTTCTTTCTCATCCGTTAACATCAAAGAGTGTGCTCGTCTAAGAAGGCTTGAAACAACTGATCCCTTTACACTGATAGGGTGTGATATTCCGAAGTGTAAATATTTATTGGAGTGGGTTTCCTTGCTGAATATAGATATATTAAAATATCTTTTTTCGAGAATTGGCAGAAGTTGGAATTCAGGAACCATTGGATCGGCGGGTCCAAGTGGCTCAATGGTCTACGAGCTCGCCTTGTAACCAAAAGGTCCTGGGTTCGAACTCTGTTGGTGGGTGCGTTCTGTGAAGAGTCCCAAACTAGGACGAAGCAGCTGTCCAGTACTCCAGTGCTGGTTTTCCAGTGGTTCTCTAACTGATGTCAGATCATCGTGAAATCCTCCATGCAATCAAACAAAAAGTCCTTACAAAACCAATACTTGAAAAATATTTTCCCTCTTCTTAACTTGGCATTCTGTATATGGTTGTTGACTGGGCAACTTGACAATGGAAACAGAATTATCCCATACTGATGAACGCTGACTGAGTTGCCGTATATATATATATATATATATATATATATATATATATATAAGCTGATATTTTGTAAATTCTAGTTTAATTAATACTACTTTGATAAAGCCATTAGCAGCAGCATAAAATAGCGAAAAGTCATTGAAATCAATAATATTGTTTTGTTTTTTCATTCATTGAGAAATATGGACGTCTCTACAATAATGTATACGCCTCTTTCATTGTTTCTTTTTAATTCCAGTAAAACTTCCGACCCAGAATTCGATTGGTTCCAATCAAATAAATAAGCACAAGTATAAATCATGCTGAAACAGCATTTATCTCATGATTTTTTTTAAATAAAATATATATCTACATTTCATCATGCCTGTGGACAATGGTCCGCTTTCTCAAACACACACAGATACACACATTTGGATGCTGACTTACAGATTATCCTAGATGTCAGTTTGCATTTTCTCCTAAATATTGTTATTACTATTATTATCCTCGTTACTGCGATATACAATCAACAATTCATTCCTTGTTTATTTCTTTGCCAGTTTGTCATTTACTATTCCTGACCCCCCCCCACACATACACACACTCCACCCCATCCGCCCTCACTCCACCTTATATCCGATCATGTCATTCATTAATTCATGAATTAATCCATGATGAAAGTCCTTGTCATTTGAGATAACTTATCTTTTTTTCCACAAATACATTAAAGTGCAGCTAGCTATTCATTGAATGTAAAAAACAGACAAACAAACAAAAAATGTGATTGATCGATTGATTGATTGATTTATCTAGATCATCGATTATGAAATAATCGATTACTCTCTCTCTCTCTCTCCAGAGAAACAAAAAATAATAATGAATAGTATAATTCCAGAATTGTCATATATATATATATATATATATATATATTCGATTATTTTTTATGCTACCCAGTGATACTCTTACTTACTCACAGACAGACTGACTTACTTTGATTTGATTTGATTCGATTTGATTTCATTATTTTTAAACAAACGTTTGAATAATAATAAATAATTCAAATTCACAAAACAAAGTGTGGAATTAACTTTAAGCGATGAAAAAACGACTAAATGCAATAATGATGATAGAGATGATAGTCACTCACTCCCCCGCACCCACCCACCCCCACATATACACACCCACACACTCCTTCATTTTATTCATCATATTTGCCTCTTTGTGATAATAATAATAATTAATACTCATTCATAATGATGAGTGATTGAAATTTCCACTTGAAAAAAACAACATATTTTTACATCAGATTTAGATTGTGTTGAAAAGCTGAGCTTTTCACGTGTCTATCTGCCCGTCTGTCTGTCTGTCTGCCTGCCTGTCTATCTATTATCTGTATATCTGTGTGTATGTGAGAGTGTTTGTTCCATCTGTCGCTGCTTACGTATATTGCATTTGTAAACATGTTTTCTTATTTCTGATGATTAAGATTTGTGTTTCCTCAATTACTTCCATACTTACAGTATTGTTGATCCCCTGATCCATCCTAGAGAAGATCTGATTTAATGAGAATATAAATCACCAGAATTAAAGGCATAAATCACAATCATATAATAAATACAATACCATTGTGCTTTCATTGTGTGTTCGTTACCTTTCTTTCTTTTTTCTCTCTTCGTCCTTTTACTTACCTGTTATCGTTGTCCTTACATATACACACATACATACACACATCTTTGTTTCCTCAGCTTCTTTTGTGTTTCTTTTCGTCAGACATACAAATGTCCTTCGTTTTGTTTATATTATACTCTAATAATTGTGATGATATTATTAATATTAATAATAATAATCCCGCCAGTCATTCATGTACTCCTTATACAAGCATTTAAAGATATGCAATTAGAAACAGTAATTTATATACATAAATAAACTGTTCCCACCCCCGCAATTCATTTGTCAGATCTGCTTATAGTGTTGGTGTTTGTGAATGCATAACTAACTGCTTATATCTCCCTCTCACTGACTCTCACTTTCTCTCTCTCTCTCTCTCCCTGCCTCTTTTATGTTCACTTCGGTGTAAACTTTCTTTTCTCTAAATGCATTTAAAACTTGTCTCGTACATATATATATATATATATATATATATATATATATATATATATATATTGAGTCATTAAAACTGAATGATGATGTCATATTTTGATTAATTGTTGTCGTCTCAACGTCGTCGTACAACGTACAGAAGTATTCCTTCCTCCCCGATCCGCTCCCCGACCCCCCCCCCTCCACTTTGTTTTATTTTCTCAAAGTAAAAAAATATATAAGTATTCTAATTTGATTTCTATTTTGTTTTTCTTTTTTGTGATGTCTACTCTCTTTGACTCTTTTATCTGTCATTTTATTTTATGTGTGTGATGCATTTACGAGAATCTACAACACGTTATAATGTAAATTAAAATGCTGCTTTTTCTTTCTCTCCCTTGTTTATGGATGGATAAGCAAACATGATAGTGTGCAGTGTTATAGTAAGGTCGAGAATTATTCAAGTGTTGGTTTGTAGGGATTTGATTGATTGGTTACAGGATTTCATCATGAGCTGACATTAGTTAGAGAACCATTGAAAACCAGTACTGGAGTACTGGACAGCTGTTTCGTCACACTTGTCGGAAGGTCCTGGGTTCGAATCCCGGTGGGTGCGTACTGATGAAGAGTCCCAAACCAGCGTGACGAAACAGCTGTCCAGTACTCCCAGGTTTTCCAATGGTTCTCTAACTAATGTCAGCTCATGATGAAATCAAGAATTATTATTATTATTATTATTAAGATACTAGAGGATGGGTGAGTGATACTCTAAGGTTTTGCAGTGAGGTTGTTATTTCGCGCACAGCCTACTTAGCGTTTTGAATATATTTTTCAAAAGTACCATCATTTAAGATAGTCACTTCAGATCTAATTAAGCAGATTTATATTGTTGTTTATTTTTAAAAAAGACAGTTGCAGAAAAGAAAATTTTCTTCTCGACGAAGTCAACATCAACTAGACAGCTGTACATTCGTGTATTTATGATAAAGGGGTGGGAAAGTTCCAGAATAATTTCCAGTCAAGGGTCAAATTAATAAAATTACAGGTAGGTATTAAAATGACGTAATAAACAGGGGCGAGACGGATAAAACTCAAACAAAGTAGCATCATAATTACTGAGAAGATTGACATATTGCGCAATCGGAGGCTAGACATGTAGAAATAACCAAAATAGACAGGATGGTTGGATAAAAAATCTAGTGGGATCATAACTAATGTGACGAATAATTGTCTATGCAATTGGGGAATAAATATGTAGAAATAATAAAATGACAAAATAGACAGGAAGTTCGGATACGAAAATGGATGGTCATTACCGAAAGAATTACCTATTTATGATGGCCGTGGCAGGGACAAGGGTTGGACGTATTTCTTTTAGATACAAAGTGTGGGTTTGAGCTTTTGGAGAGCTAGTGCCTCAGCTATGCCCAGATATCTTAATTTTACTGCCTCTGATAGGTTTGACCGAATCTTGTATATTATTTTGAAGGATTTTTCGATTGGCGCTGACTGTCCAGATGTTTTGTCACTGAACTATATATACCCGTTTTCGTTCTCCTTTTACTAGCCATTCTGGATAGTGTTCACGGGTGCGTTTTTCAAGTTGGCACAACGTTCAGCCGGTGTACTCATCTCCGCAACAGCATGTAAACTGGCTGAACAGTTTCTTGCAGGAAAACATCGGCCGTAGGCTCGCGGTGAAGTGTTTTCCTCAGCGATTTGGAGAGGCGTTTACGTCGGATTTCTGCTTCAATGTCACCCTGTTTTTTTATGGCTTTTTAATTCCTAATTGTAATTTTATTAATTTGACCCTTGACGGGAAATTATTCTGGAACTTTCCCACCCATTTATTATAAATACACGAATGTACAGCTGTCTAGTTGATGTTGACTTCGTCGAGAAGAAAATTTTCATCGCTGCAACCGTCTTTTTTATAATTCCTATGATCCAATATGTATGTATGGTTTTTATTAGAGGGACATTTTCATTCTTATAAATGAATACACTTTAAATTATTTTTTATGTTTCACAATACGTTGAGACTGAAATAGGGACACTGAGTTGGACACAACCTGCGAGTTGATCACGACTATCGCTTGATTACTCCAAAAAAAGTGTACGACAGTTACCTGTTTCCCTACCCCATACTCCTTGAACGAGAAGACACAAATAGCTAGCTTACGATAGTGGCTGGCCGTCACGTTATGTATACCACAGAAACTGGAATTCATGTGCCATTGGTTCGGGTCCCAGTGTCTGAATGGTTTACGAGCTTGCCAGGTATTTGGAAGGTTCTGAGGTGGAATACCAGTGGATGTGTCCTGATGAAAAGTTTCAAAGTAGAGCGAAACGGCTATCCAGTATTCCCAAGTTTTCCACCGGTTCTCTGTATGATGTCAGCTCATGATCACACTTGCAGCCAGCTAATAGGTTCAACGTCATAAAGCTGGTGATGCTTTCTTGTTGAAGATGCGTCGGTGGCATAGTGTTTAGTACTCACGCCGACCATGCACATGGTCCGAGGTTCGATCCCCCGCCGACAAAGCACACCTGATATCTATGGTTGGCCTGCAAAATCTGGCCTACCGATATCGCATGCTGAAAATTTCATACTTGTACCAAAAATACAGTGTGGAATCAAGCTGCAATCAAAAAAAGATGGTGACATGAAAAATATGCCAATTTTGCATACCATAGCATACCATACCATACGCTTATTTGAACATAAGACGGCTATAAATTTATTTATCAGTCAAACCACTTAGAGTTTCTTCTCTTTATATTATTATTATCGTTTCCTTTAGTTTCTAACGAAACGCAGGGCTTCAGACAAATGTCTCCATTGCGTTCAGTTCTCTGCCAACGTTTTCACCTGACTCCCACGTCTGCCCACATACTTTCTTCTCTTATTCATATAACCTCCTCCATTTCACCCTCACACTGACGACCAACTCGCCGCTTCCCGTTCGGGTTCTACTCAAGCGATGGCCTAGCGTGTGACGTCACATGGTGGTTTGTTTTCTCAGAGCATAGCTAGCCAATCCACCTACATTTCTTCCTGCATACCTGTCGCACAATCGGTTCCTGGTTGGTTCGCTCCCAGAGATCCCTGGCCATCTGATCTTGAGTAGTATTGAGCGAAGATAGCTGTTGATTAAGGTTTGTAGTTCGTTTGAAGTGCTGGTCATGACGCGCCAAGTCTCTGATCTGTATAGTAAGTAGCACTGACTTCACATTGCATTTGAAAATCCGGATCTTATTTTTCATGCTGAGTGCTGTCAACCTCCACACAGACTTGCGAGAAGTGAAAACTTGCCTTACTTTCCCGATCCTTGCTTTGATATTCTCGTCAGTTCCGCCTGCAGTTGAAACGATGCTTCCCAGGTAGGTGGGTAGGTAGGTAGGAAAAGGAACAGTTTTTTCTCTACGTTTTATTAATCCAATAGATATCGAATCATGTAATAATCAGATTTTAAAAAAGCATCAGTTTCATGTGATTTTGGTATACAATAGTTGTGTTCATTTAATGCCTGTACCATGATAGTTACCATTCAGATCATGTTATATTAAATAAGCTAAAAAAGTTAGATTACGCAATGAAACTTCTTCTGATAAGGAACGCTTTAGGTAAGTATATTAGCTCCTTCTTACACTTTGTTTCTACATATGGCAATATTTACTAAAGAACAATATTTACAAATCAGGATTTTATCATGAGCTGACATCAGTTATAGAACCATTGAAATACCAACTGAGAGTACCGGACAGCTGTTTCATCCTAGTTTCGGACTCTTCAACAGTACGCACCCACCACCACAGTTCGGACCCAGGACCTTCCGGTTACAAGGTGAGCTTGTAGACCATTAAGCCACTGGGACTCGATCCAATGGTCAATGAATTCCAAGTTCTGTCAGTTCTGCTCGTCTTGTAAACGGGAGGACCTAGGTTGAGTTCGTGTTCCTGTTGGTGCGTGCTGATGACGAGTCTCAAACTAAGACAAAACAGCTCCCCGATACTCTCAGGTTTTCCAACGGTTTTCTAGCTGATGTCAGCTCATGACGCAATCTTCAGACTAATTAAATCCCTACAAACCAACTCCTGAATATCTACAAATCACCTCCAGGTTAATCAACAGCTCTAAGTGTTTCATTGTTAAACATCTTGTTTCTAATTCAGCAGAAATATGAGTAACTGTCCTTCAGGATTACCCTACTCCTATTTAGATTCACCGGTATTACCTGTTGACGGCTATAATTTTTTTTGCAACATTAATCGACCACATAAAATAGTCAGTTTAAGGCTTTATTTGTATAGCGAACCTACAACGCTTAATTGAATTTTACATTTTCCCATCGATTGATTAGACCGAAGTGCTCGGTTCCAGGTTGACATGTCGGCTTCCTGTGCAGATGCTTCAACGATGTCTGGGCTTGTAATTAGAATTTAATTGGTGGATGGTGACTATCAGTGGAATCCAGGATAACGCCCACTTCGTCCTATTCGGGACAGGTCACCATCCACCAATTAAATTCTAATTACAAGCCCAGACATCGTTGAAGCATCTGCACAAGAAGCCGATATGTCAACCTGAAACCGAACACTTCGGTTCAATCAATCGACGGGAAAATCAAAAATTCAATTCAATAATTAATATCACCTGTTGCACAAGAGGTGGCTCTTGTGGCCCAAGTGGTCTAGTGGATAACGCTTTGACGTTTGAAACTATGGGTACTGGGTTCAAGCCTCGGTGGGGAACATCATCACTCACTGAGAAATTCAGGTACATCCACTGGCTGACGAGTCCCTAAATAGGACGAAATGCGCGTTATCCATCCATCAATTAAATACAACAACACTTACTTGAATGAAGAACCATTCAATTGTTAAGTCCTCAAAAAAAAAAGAAAATGTAAGATGGATATCATATTAGACTAAATTCAAAAAATAGCGTTTTTATCGAGTGGTTTTTAAAAAGATGTAGGTTATGCGTTTACGTCGTACTGGGATATATGTATGCTCAACTATGCAGTCATGAGGAGAACGGAACAAAACTCATATCCTCTGTCATTACTAAACGTGTAACGGAGAAAGCTGCTTTCACAAACTACATTTATATTTTAGGTAATAAAATCTAAGTAAATGTATAAAAAAATATTTTCACAAAGATAGTTACATATTTCATTGTTATTTTGTGACTGTTGACTGATTTTCACGTATTAGGAGAAGAAGCATAAAACATCTCAAGGTATGTGATTTGAAAAAAAAATGGGGAAAATACGGTATACAATAGGAGTAATTTAATCTTTTGTAAGATAATCGTAAACTGTTTCATAAACTGCAAATGTACACGCATTGACTAACAAGGCTCTGACGAGGACAACATGAAATCCACGAAAAAATATTTTATAACTTTTTTCATTTAATAATTTTGTAATAACACTTGAAGCTGTGATACCATGACCAACTTGTTGTCGTGTTTTTATGACATCCTAATTAAAAATAAATAAATAAATAAAATAAATAAATACAAAAATGAAAACATTAGTATTTTGTATTATTAGGAATTAATAATATTAACTAATCTGTATTTTGATTGGAAACCAGTTAGTAACCTAGTGTGTTATAAGCCCTTTGTTTGCAATGAAGCCACCATGCCAGGTTGGCTCTCTGTCATTGTACAGTTAAATGGAGGCAGTCGAGAGGAAGCCTAAACTAGGCCAAGGTTTCGTGCTTGTTATTACTTGATGGCAAGGAGTATCAACAATCTTGAAGTAATCATGTCCCCTTCTGACTGATAGAATTCAGTATGTACCAAGCAGAGGACTAAATACATGACACCAGTTACTAACTACCCAATGTTGAATGAAGTTTGTGAAACAATAACAATTTCAATAACAATAACAATTTCGCTTTATTCCAGAAACAGTACTTGTGGTACAGTGCGGAATTTTCAGCACAGGAGGAGATCGAATAGCTCATTAGTAGCAGTACTGGGTGAGGCATGTTGGAATCTCAGGAGAGAAATGAGTTCCTTCAAGACACCTTGTAAAGACATCATACTGACTGGTGAGTAACAATAAACACGAATCATATTTCCAAACCCTTATGCCGATTGTCTCAAACCATGTAATATTAACTAATCGGTTCAAAAGCTTGTGTCTAATTTTAAACATTCTGTGTACTCTCACTCTCCATTAAAATGAATCCCGCTAGTCATGAATTCCCATTAGAACTTCAGACAACTTCGTCCTTAAACCAGTGACTATAGTGAGTATTAGATCAATTTTCAGAACTTTGTTTGTATGATTCAAAACTCACTGGGTGCGTACTGGCGATGAGTTCTAAACTAGGACGAAACATGTGTCCAGTACTCTAGTCCGGATATCAATCCATAATCAAACTTGAAACATTCTAGATCCCTACAAAGTAACTCGTGAAAATTCTCTTTACTACATGCTGGAGATGTAGCTGATTGACATAAGAAGTCAACCTTGGCACCAGTGGGTACTGGATTCGAATCCTGTTGTATCTGATACGTCCTAGGCAACTGAGTAGTATCATCACGTCAGTTTCTATCTAGCGTAATGCATCTATTTCTTTTTCGGTTTCTGGTTGTTGTAATCTCCTGATTATGTCCTTGGGTCTTAGTATGAACTCATGCAAATTCTTAATTGGCGTCGAACCTATCATTGAAAATTTCAAGATGAAAATGAAAGGGAATTTAGTCTTGTTTCAGATCGAATGATGTCGCGTCATCATGATATACTGTCAATGAATATTTACTTGAAGACTCTACAAGGAGGAGTAAATATTTTGCAAAAGAAACACGTTGAGGAGGAGGCTGTCGGGTAACATTGCACACCAGGCCATCATATGATTGGAAGCTGAGTGAGAAACGACGAGTCGGTTGTGAGTCTGAGGGTAACATGGAGGAGATATTGTGAGGAGAAGATGAAAGCTTATCAGCAGTCTTTGGACTAGCTGAAGAGGACTGAAGAGAACGAAGCAAAGTAAAGACCTGCTGTTAAAGCCGTATATTCCACTTGGAACCCTAGAGAATTGTGTTTAAAATACCATTTCCAGAATAAAGCTGATTCCATTATTATTATTACACCTATTTTGTGTTACCTATCTGGAAGGTGTGTGTAGATGCATGAAGAAAGTCATGTATCTCCTGACATTTAAACCTACATTACTCAAAATTGTGATCACAAAGTTTCATAATCTATTAACACAAAATATATTTAGCATAAAATATTGGTATTCTTTGGATTGATTAAGACACCTAGAAGTTAAAATTATGTTATGGTACATTGTTGCAATTTACTATAATATTTATATTTTATAACTGTCACTCCATTTTCTGCTTATTGTCTGACTTTGTGTGATTCCTAAGAGCGGTAGTATTCTAGTCTAGATTTAAATCTAGTAATAAACGTATTTCAATTCGTCAAATAATTTACCTTTAGCCAGCTCATTGTTTAATATATGTGTAAAACTTGAGCACTGTGGTAGTAAGTAATTCCATATTAGTTTGTTTATTAGATATATCACACAGTCACTGAAACAGTATTACTATTTACTGGATGACAAAGTTTCGAACAAAATGTACTGTTCATAATCATATCAGTTATGATAAGACGACTTCGAAACTTTAGTTTTATAGTCGTCTTTGTTCTCTCCTATTTGTCGTGGTTGGGGTAATAGAATTCTCCAGACATCTGGGTGGACAGGTATTGAGTCATTCCTATTGCATGTATTTGCATTTGATTCGATAAACAAAGCTTCCGCTGTCATCAATCTCTCCCTCCATCCTTCTGCTACATTAGATTTTAAAACTGTCATCCTATCCCATCCAGCCTACATTGTATAGTTGTGTGTAACTGCATGTGGTGTGTGCTATGGCTGAACTATTCTCTAGATTTCTTATCTTATTCGCTAAGGTCAACCAATCTAAATTTTGCTAGGTTTTTATGCTCGCTAGTCTGACTGACTGAGCATCGTTCTACTACTTCAACCTACGTATTTCACCTGACATTCATTGCAAGCAGGGTATTAGATAAACTAAATTGTTTTGTTTTAACGGCTCCACAGTACTGATGCTTTAATCGACAAAGCTTGTTTCTAATTGAGTTTGTGGGTTTGAATGCTACTCTTATTCTTGTTTGGATTGTTAAGAATTCTGCGTAAGGTTTCCGAGATTCCTTCCTTGTATGGAGTTACTACTGGTGATTTAGATTCCTTATTGTTAGTGTTGTCATTATCCTGTGCATGTTTGATTTGCATGTCGTCATTAATATTACTACTACTATTATTAATATTATTACCACTATCACTACCATCATTATTTATTTTATTTTTATATTTCCCTGCATACTTTCTGACTAATTTATCAGGGTAATTATTAAGTTTCAAAGCTTCTCTTATATGTCTCACTTCCTGTCTTAGATTTTCTTCAGTACTACTTAGTTTTTGTGCTCTATCACTGAAACATTTCACCAATCTTATTTTCACTGACGTAGGATAGGATGAACGGAACAGGTGCAGCCATACTAGCCGAGCATAAAAACCTAGCAAAATTTAGATTGGTTGACCTTAGCGAATAAGATAAGAAATCTAGAGAATAGTTCAGCCATAGCACACACCACATGCAGTTACACACAACCAGACAATGTAGGCTGGATGGGATAGGATGACAGTTTTAAAATCTAATGTAGCAGAAGGATGGAGGGAGAGATTGATGACAGCGGAAGCTTTGTTTATCGAATCAAATGCAAATACATGCAATAGGAATGACTCAATACCTGTCCACCCAGATGTCTGGAGAATTCTATTACCCCAACCACGACAAATAGGAGAGAACAAAGACGACTATAAAACTAAAGTTTCGAAGTCGTCTTATCATAACTGATATGATTATGAACAGTACATTTTGTTCGAAACTTTGTCATCCAGTAAATAGTAATACTGTTTCAGTGACTGTGTGATATATCTAATAAACAAACTAATATGCAATTACATCTCACTGTTTATTGCTATCGTTTGAGATGGAATGGCAGTCTTTCAGAAGTTTAGAACATGAAGGAATAATAAACATTCTGGCACAGTAAGCGTTGTTTTGGTGGTTAATTAAAATCTGTAACCCACAAGATGTTTTATTATTGAGGATTTTTGCACAGCTGAGTGCAAAGTACTAAAATCTGTAAAGCTACTGTTTATCACTAACCGGATTAACGGTTGTGTCTTGAAGTTCTAACAAGATATTACAGACTTATGCGAGATTCTCATTGATATAACTGGCTGACAGTAATGCCATAACACGAAATTACAAAGGTTAGAATTTATAGGTCATTGGCTTCTTACCCACGGATTGAGTGGTAAACGTACTCGACCTGTCAACATCTGAAAATCTTGGGCTCAGTTTATAGTAGTCAGCGTAAATGAAGAGTTGCAGACTACAGTGAATCAGGTATTCAACACTTTTGGGCTTTCAGTGATTCACTGATTGGTTACTAAATATGAACTCATATTTCATAATGAGTTAATGTACGTGTGGAATATGGGTAATGTAGTAGTACATAATTCCATGATCACATCAATATGGTTACGATAACAGTAATAATAATAATAGCCTTGTTCTGGAGAAAATGTATTCACTCTGTACAGAATTCTCAGCGTAATTTATCGAATAATATCTTCCCTTAGATATGAGGGAGAAGATTTGTAGCTCAGGTGGATGATTTTGATGTGGTTGTGTTCTCTGAGCTGGACAGTTAATATGCGAAGCTTTCATCACCCTACTAGGTGACATCTTCAGCGCATACTTCAATTCGTTGAAGCGAGCTTTTAGATTTCTCCACGAGTTTATTAGTCATCTCTTCTGGTGACCTTGAAAGTGATCGGTTGTTTTCGTGTGCTTTCACACCTTCTGGGTTACTTGTATTGGAACTAATCGTTTCCTTGACTTGAACTTTGACGCTTTCTGTGTGACAAAATTTACCAACCGATAAGAAGTAAATCTCACACACAAAGCGTCAAACTTCAAGTCAAGGAAACAATCAGTTCCAATACCAGAAGTAGCATAGCGAGTGTGAAAAGACACAAAAACAACCAGTCATGCTCAAGGTCACAAGAAGAGATGCCAAATGAACCCGTGGAGAAATCTATAAAGCTCACTTCAACGAATTGGAGTATGTGTTGAAGATGTTGCCTAGTAGGGCTATGAAAGCTTTGCAAATTAACTATCCAGCTCAGAGAACACAACCACATCAAAATATCTTCCCCTATTCAGTATCTTCTAATGAAATAGCATAGTCTATATTATATCATGTGACGCAATGATGTTTGATCAGAAGCGTAGATTAATCCCTTATGCTATTTTCCCATCATCTCCGAGATATGCACACCAGTAGTTTGAAAGTGGATTAAGAATGTACGTGATTACATTTTACGACTCAAGGGCATAATTGATTGGTTGAAACAATATGACTTAGAGAAAATATGACGTATCGTGTTGGATAGAAATTCAGATGGCGCAGTCATTCAAACAAGCCTCCATAAGGTGATAATCATAATTTGTGCTTAACACATCATCCAGTTATCAATAATATATCACTGTGTGGTGTATGAAATTAACTCATCTAATATGGAATCATTTTGAGCTCGGCTACTTTTATTAATAATTCATTATCATGCAGAAATCTATTGACCGTAATAGTAATTTTTCTACAATAGCATACTATGATTACAACATATATGTCCAAACCAAGTTCACTTTTAACAGTTTGAAAAAATTTGGGCATTGGTTATATGATATTCATTATAATAAAGGTTTTTTTTGTATTTCCCAATGAATGAAAAACAAAACGATATTGTTCTTGCTGACGTTTCGCTATTTGATGCTGCTGCTAGTAGCTTTATCAAACTGGTATTATTAAACCGGAATTTACAAAATCTCAACTTATACATAACTACTCCGCCAAGTTGGTCAACTGGTAAAGATAACAAAACTAAGTGTAGATTGTTGGATTTCATAAGTGTGTGAAATTATAAAAGCAGCTTGTGTCAACATAATGAAATTGCTTATCACATTCTTGTTGATTTTGTCATTTCATGGAGGAGCAGAGGGGTGTTTTAGCCAGGTCAAATTCTGTTTGAGTCCATCATTCCTATTCTGGTAGTTTGGATTCCATTTAATATGAAGTGCTTCTGATATTAGACGTCCTTTGTTATTTGTGGATTACTTCAATACTGTCAAAATCAATCCTGTGGCCTGATTCTATAGAGTGATGATTTTTCAAGCTTTTCTAATCCAACTGGATTTCTCAGTGGCCGATAGATGCTCTACGGTGTTCATTTCTCCTGATTCCCTTGATTTCTTTCTCGAAATGTTTGTCCGACTTATATCGTATCACATTCCAAGCATTTTATTTTATAGACACAGTTAGATAAAGAATCTTTAGGGATTTCGTCTTTTATATGGACAAGGTTGCTTCCCAGTGTGTGCGTGCCTGAGGTTTTGAGCTTATTGAATACTTTTCTGATATCATCTGACGTCTCTGCCCTATATGGACTGACGACTGTTGAGGTTCATGTCTTCGGAATACATTTTTCACCATATTTAATGTCGTTGTTGATTTTGTTAATGAAGTTCTTTGGGTAGTTATTTTGCTTGAGAGTTTCAGTGATGTTTGATACTTCCTCTCCTTTTTCTTTCTCATCCGTTAACATCAGAGAGTGTGCTCGTCTAAGAAGACTTGAAACAACTGATACCTTTACGCTGATGGGGTGTGAGGATCCGAAGTCTAAATATTTAAATCGTTTTGTTTTACATTCATTGGGTAATACAAAGAAAATCCGTATTATAATGATTACAATATTGTTTCTTTTCTTTTCTTTTATTTATTAAAATGAAGGCACTTACAAATGGCATTGAAACACACCATGATAATGTTCCCCCGATAGCACCACCAATAAAAGCAGACCAAAATGTAGACAATCCAATAGATTTGCCCACTTTAATTGATTCAGAATAAGTATAAAAATATGTAGCAAAGCCTGGTATATCACGAAATGCTTGAATGATTGTTCCTGAATACAATCCATGAATGCCTTTAACACGTAGGATAGTACGAATACATTCACGGGTTGTTAATTGTGTACCACCTTAAATGATAAATAATACAAAAGAAAATAAGAGGGAAGAATATTCACTGTTTGATAGTTTCCTCTTCTCTTCTACACTTATACATACAGCGAATACATAATACAGCGAAAATACATATACAGCGAATATATTCATTCAGACATCAATAAAACATAAAATAAATGAGAAAAGAATATCCTTATAATAAAGGTCTTTGTATTTCCCAATGAATGAAAAACAAAACGATATTGTTGATTTTACTGACGTTTCGCTATTTAATGCTGCTGCTAGTAGCTTTATCAAAGTATGATTAATAAAGAATATCCTTTTCGATAATTTCCTCTTCTGCCTCTACAATTAAATAGCTGTAAGTTTATATACATACAATATTCTAGATTAGTAGTCATTAACCACCGGTGAGCTCCGGTGAGCTTCATACGCCAGTCGTTGGAGGTTTGGAATCAGGGTTTAGTAATACACTAGTATATATACACTAGTAACCGTAATTCTGATTTTCATTTACTGAGTTGAACTCACCATTAAGTTTCATAATCTACTTAATTGTTTTGTCTAAGCGTCGGCGGCACAGCGGTTAGTACTCTTGCCAACCATGCACATGGTCCGGGATTCGATCCCCTGCCGACGCACAACCTGACATCAATGGTCAGCCTGCAAAATTTGGACTACCGATATCACATGCTGAAAAAATTCCATACTTCTACCCAAAAAAGTACTGTTTGGAATCAGCCTATAATCAAAAAAATAAAAATTTTATTTCACTATTCACTCCCAACCTTCTAAACTTTTCATTATATGACATGCATTGAATTCACCATGTGTGTTCATTCCTGTATTTTGTCTTGAGTCAGTCCTTGTTTTTAAGTCAAATCTGAACTATGCCTTTCATCTCCAATCTGACTGAATCATGAATAGTGATCCTTTTAACAGGCAATAATTTTAGCGGAAATATTCATTCAGACATCTACATAACACGAAATAATTGAGCGAAGAATATTCTTTTCGATAAATGCTTCCTCTCCTCTGGCTCTACAATTATATATACATATGTTTATATACATAGAATATTCTAGAATAGTAGTCAGTAACAATATTAGTGTTTTTTAAATAATATCGATTTGTAAAGTATGATCACGATGGAATTACAGTTCATTAAAGATACTTAAATAATAATAATAAAGATATAGTAGCGAATAGAATATCAACCAAAATTAGGAAAATTCCACAAAAATTGAGGATCATTCGAACCTCGATGGTCAAGCGGTAAGGATAATGTCTGAACTAACTAACTTCTTTTGGATGCACAAATTAGGCTTGCTAATATGGATCCCCACAGCCTCAGCAATCTTTAATAGTCGAACTCTTAAGGCGAAATTAAGATATGTTGGTATGTAGTAAATGACTATGAAAGAGGCCTGGTTAACATCAGTCTTGTGTTCTGTATCCACACGATGAGAGAGAACAGTACTACGAATAGATTTTGTTTGTCCTTTAATTAACCACACAGGCTGTTGGGATCCACATTAATAAGCCTAATTTGTGCTTCCAAAAGAAGTTAGTTCAGACATTGTCCTTACCGCTTGGCCATCGAGGTTCGAATGATCCTCAATTTGTTGTGGAATTTCTATTTGTTATTATATCTTTATTATTATTTAAGCATCTTCAGTGAACTGCGATTTATTGTGAGTTGGTGGTACAGCGGTTAGGACGTTCGCCAATCATGCACATGGTCCAGGGTTCGATCCCCGGCCACAGATGCCCTCCTTTACCTCACTGAGCCAGAAATAATCCTGGTAAAGAGGAAAGGTTTGGCATGAGGCTAGCAACCTCATCCTATAAAATTAAACACTGCTACAGAAACTTCAAGCTACTAGCTTGAGACCCTATATTCCACTGGGAACGTGAAGGAAAAAAAATGAACTGCGGTAATTCCATTGGTCTTACTTTACAAATCGATATTATTTAAAAAACACTGATATTGTTTCATACATTTATTCCCCTTAATGAATTTGAACAATGCAAGAACTACAGTTTTAGCAGAATAAAATGGTACCATCTTTTATTTCGTTGCCTTCTCGTCAGCTGCTTACATGGCAAAGACATTATTAAATATATCTACAACAACAATTTTAACATACTTGCACAGAGTTCAGTTTAAACAAAAATCAATCGATCAATATACGCATACACTAAAAATATATACATATATAAATATGCAATATTAACCACTATTCCGAACAATAATAATCAAACACAATGGAAACTTTTAGCATTTCAAACTCGGAGGAAAGAGAGGTGAAATTATCCAGTTACCAAGGCAAAGAAAGGCTGATAACCGCTTCTTTCTGGACGCATAAATCAGGTTTCATGCGCTTGATGGAAATGGCTTCAGCAAACTTAAGGAGAATGGAGCTATTTTGCTTATTGATAATTTTGAACGACTTTTCAACGTCCACCTCATGACCCGTGTCAAGAAGATGCCTGGTGATGGCACTATTTAAAGCATTTGTTCCCTTTAGACGTAAGCTTTTTGGTACATGTTCAGAAAATCGTAGATATGCCCTTCTTTCTGTCCTTCCAATGTAACTGCCCTGGTAACTGGATAATTTCACCTCTCTTTCCTCCGAGTTTGAAATGCTAAAAGTTTCCATTGTGTTTGATTATTATTGTTCGGAATAGTGGTTAATATTGCATATTTATATATGTATATATTTTTAGTGTATGAGTATATTGATCGATTGATTTTTGTTTAAACTGAACTCTGTGCAAGTATGTTAAAATTGTTGTTGTAGATATATTTAATAATGTTTTTGCCATGTAAGCAGCTGACGAGAAGGCAACGAAATAAAAGATGGTACCATTTTATTCTGCTAAAACTGTAGTTCTTGCATTGTTCAAACTGATATTGTTATTGACTAGTATTCTAGAATATTCTATGTATATGAACATCTACCTGTAATTGCAGAGTCAGACGAAGAAATTATTGAAAAGGATATTCTTTGCTCAATTATTTCGAATTATATATACGTTTATATACACAGAATATTCTAGAATAATCGTCATTAACAAAGCTGATGTTTGTGTAGATATCATTTTACACATTAATGAAATTACAGTTCAAGAAAAATGCATAAATTGTAAGAAGCATAAAAAAATTTAATAGCAAATAGAATATCAAATAAAATTGAGTAATCTTCACAAGAAATTTCGGATCATTAAGATCTTGATGGTCAAGGAGAAGGACAGCGTCCGAACCAACTTCTTTTTGCATACATAAGTTAATTTCTTAATGCGGAACCTAACAGCCTCAAAAATATGTAGTGGACGAACTGTTGATGTAAAAGTAAGTATAGTTGGTATACGGTAGATGACTTTGAAAGCATCGTTTACATCAGCTTTGTGTCCTGCATTCACGAGATGAGATAGAATAAAGCTACAAATGAACTCTGTTTGTCCTTTATCTAACTACTTTCCACCATGGTGTTTGGAAATCCGATGAGAAACACGCCTAGTTGTACGGCCTATGTAACTGACTCCACAGGAGCAGTCAAACTGGTAGATACACATGGAAGAGGCAAAATTAGGCAGTTTATCTTTAACTCCCGAAAGCAAAATAGGGATGTCTTGAAGACGCAGCATAATTCGACAGCACGTAAAGCTCTTTTTACGGCATTCTTTAAGTGTTATGTTAGTATCTCACTGATGTTATCCCCGAGGAAGTGAAGTTGTGAGAACAAGACCTTTTTTTGAAATAGTTGGTACTTAGGCCTTCCTTGACTTTTGATTTATATTCTTATCGATTGATTATCAAACACTTACCCTTGTGGCTTTATTTATTTTTTTATTATAGTTTGATTCCACACCGTTTTTGTAGTACAAGTATAGAATTTTCAGCATGCGATATAACTGAAAACTGTCAAGTAAGGACTACGCTCCTCCTTAGATTGTAAATTTAATTTATTTATGGAGGTGAATGAAGTTAGAGGTTTGGTTGTGAAATGCTAATCATCTACAAGTGTGGTCGAAGTTCGTTTACCTGTGGATACACTTCTAAGCCACTCCTGGCTGATAGTAAACCCTAGAAGAGGGAATCCTGGGCATGAAACTGGCAACCATACAGGCACACACGAGTCTGTATAGCTAAGGGGCAACGTCTTTCACTCGCTCACTGGGTGACACGAGGTCGAATCTCAGAAGAGACATGAATTCCTTTACGGTTGGAGATACGCTTTGCTGACCAGTCCTATAAAGCACGAAACCCAAGTTTAGATTGAACTTCCTACCGATTACCTCCAACCTTCCAGCACTTTTAAAATGTCTTAAACTTTCGAACCTTACTCCATTGTATAGAATTTTATATTTGCAGTCTATGAATTAGGATAATAGCGTCAGATTTCTATTTGAATAACTTCATCACTTGCTTTTTACCATCGGTCAACATAGAGTGTAAATACTATCTGACTGAAAGCTCATATATACACTGCAGGAAATGTAGCTCATTCACCTAAGCACTCAACTTCCATCCAACGGTTATCAGTTTCGAATCCCGCTCTACCTACATCAGCTTCGCTATTAGATAACAAGTGTGGCTCATAGCCTAGCACCTCAGAAATACGTTCTCACTTACTAACATATATTATGCTAAAATAAACATTCTTAGGAAACCTGGACATTATACGTTATTGAGGTTACAATTCATCTTCTATGGGATTCGATAACGTCGACGCAGTAGGCGCCAAATATTAACTGTTGCAGACGACAGAGTTCTAATATTGATCAACTTGCATTGAACAATTTTTCAAGTCTGACTCAGTTTTAAAGGCTTTCGAATGTGGAACCTTTCGACTTATTGATGACCTACAAAGTATAAGATAGAAAAACACAATTTTTTTATTCCTTCAGGTTCCCAGTGGAACATAAGGCAACTTCAAGCTAGATGCTTGAAGTTTCAGTAGCAGTGGTGTTTATTTTTAGCCAGCCTCATGCCCAACCTTTCCTCTTTACCAGCTTTATTTCTGGCTTATCGAGGTAAAGCAGTGCGTCTGTGGCCGGGGATCTAACCCCTGTGCATGGACCATGTGCATGGTCTGCGAGCGTGATAACCGACACACTGAAAAATACAATGACCACACAGAATCATTCCATACTCAAATTACCTAAATGACATTGTTGTTGTATTTTAATAACTTCAACTGGAACAGCAGGTATTAATTGTACAGCACCGGAGACAGCACCAGCCATTGCATTAGCCAATGGGGACTGAATTCGTGAATCGAATACATTCAAGGACTTTTTATACACAGTGAAAATCACGGCATTAATAAATCCGTATGAATAAAATGGTATTGTAAGGCCAGTGAAAAATCGATTCTAAATTAGAAAGAATATTTAGGAGAGAGAGAAAAAAGCAATTTACTACGTAATTTATTTATTTATTATTTACCAATTAATTCAACCCTTCCGCTTCACAAAAAAAATAAATAAATAATAAAAACAAACTTTTTCCTTCTATGATTCCACTGATCCTTTTCCACTGTTTATCAGTTTATATTTGTTTTACTTAACTTTCTATGCTTGAAAATGGATATTACTCACTGTTATAGTAATCAAAACAAATAAATAAATCATGATAAGACAGAAGAAAGCGAATTAGCATTTAGTTATCTGATTGTACGAATTCCCACTGCTTTGCTTCATTTATAATCTAATGATACGGCAAAACAAAACTGAACAATCCATTGATCATTGATTACTATTATTATTATTTCAAACATTTATTCCCCTTATTATTATTATTATTATTATATCCTTTAATTCCTAGAGGAACATAGGGATTCAGCTGCGCGTCTCCATTGCCTTCGGTTTTCTGCCAACTTTTTCACTCCGCTCCAAGTCTGCTCACACGCTTTCATTTCCTCTTCACATGACCTCCTACAAGTCACCCTTGCACTGACGACCAACTCGCTGCTTCCCTTTCGGGTTCCACTTGAGCAATGGCTTGTCTAGTGATGTCAGTTGATGGTTTGTTTCCTCAGAGTATGGCCAATCCACCTCCATTTCTTCCTACCTATTTGTTTCGCAATCGGTTCCTGCTGGGTTGGTTCGCTCATTGCCAGAGATCCCTTTTGCTGATCTTTCCTGGCCAGCCATCTGATCTTGAGTATTGAGCGAAGACAACTTTTGATGAAGGTTTGAAGTTTGTTTGAGATGCTCTTTATGACGCATCAAGTCTCTGATTCGTATAATAGCACTGACTGACTTCACATTGGAGTTGAAAATCCGGATCTTATTTTTGATGCCGATTGGTGTTGACCTCCACACAGATTTGAGAGTAATGAAAGCTTGTCATGCTTTGCTTTCCCGATCCTCGCCCCTTTGATATCCTCGTCAGTTCCATCGGCCTGTAATTGAAACGATGCTTCCCAGGTAGGTAAGTGAAGGAGGTTGTTTCTTTCAGGTTCCTCCCATTTATGCTGGCTGATTATTGTCTGTTGTTGTTGCTGCTGCTGTTGCTGCTGGTCAGTAATCTTCATCACCTCTGTTTTATCTATGTTCACCTGAAATGAAGTCCTATCTTTGATGCTTCTTCTGCCATCTTATTGCTTTCCACTAGCATATCTTCCAGTTTGTGGGAAATCAGAAATATATCATCGGCGAAGTCTAGATCCTCCAAGTCTCTTTTTGTGTGAGTCCATTTTATGCCTGTTCCCTCGTTGGTTGCCGTTGTCTGTCGCATTATCCAATCTACTGCAGTCTGGAAGATCATTGGTGATAGTAGACAGCCAGCTTATCTCACTCCCGTCTTCACTTCGAAGGCTTCCGTAAGTTTCCCGTTGTGGATTACTTGGCATGCAGCATTGTCGTACAACTGTCGGATGAGATGTATAATTGTCGGCGGCACCCCTTGGTAGTGGCAAAGTAGTTGTCAAATCACCCCTCGATCGCCACTGCACTATCGAAGGCCTTTTCAAAGTCGATGAAGTTGCAGTAGAGAGGTGACTGCCATTCCAAGCTTTGTTCAATGATGATCCGTAGAGTGGCGATTTAATAAATAATAATCATTTATTTCGTCGGTTTCTCATCAGCTGCTTACAGACCAAAGTCATTATTAAGTATATCTACAGAAACAACTTTAACATACTTGCACAGAGTTCATTTTAAGCTAAAATCAATCGATCAATATATGCATACAGTAAGAGAGCAACAGAAAGAGAGACCACCATACACGTATATATATATATATATATATATATATATATATATATATATATATATATACATATATATATATATATATGTAATATTAAATACTATTCCGAACAATAATGATCATACACAATGGAAACTTTTGGTATTACGTATTCAGATGAAAGAGAGACGAAAATATCCAGTTATCATGCAGGGCAAATAAAGATTGATAACCGCTTCTTTCTGAACGTACAAATCAGGTTGCAGGGGATGGCTTCAGCAAACTTGAGGAGTGTTGAACTATTTTGCCTTTTGATAATTTTGAACGATTTTTCGACTTCCACCTCATGACCCGTATCAAGGAGATGTCTGGCGATGTCACTGTTTAAAGCATTTGTTCCCTTTAGGCAGAAAGTTTTTTGGTACATGTTGTTTTTGGAGAAATTGTGAGGTTTTCCCAGAAAATCCTGAGGAGTTGATATGTAATCTGTCGAGTCTGAAGTTAAATCACATTGTTGGAATGGAGACGCTCACTCTTGGATTCAATTTTCATATCCTAAATAAGTTTATCGAAGGAACCGATGTCGCAGTTCTTAATCGACTCAATGGCTTTCATGTTCTCTTCATACAATCAACTCGGACTTCCAAATAGCGCTCCCCACCCACTCAGGTCCAATTGGAGAGCCTGAAGTGTGACGTTAGTCAACAGTCTCTACACCGTATGTCTAATCCATCTCGATTTTCTTTTGCATATTTGTTTGACAGCGCAGGTTTTTGGTTGCTTCATTACCAGAGCTCCTTATTGTTTATGCTTTGTCGACGGTCATCTAATCTTCAGTATCAAACTGTGGAAAAAAATTCACTTGACCTGTTGCCGGGGTGTGGGTTTAATTAATCACTTTTAGAATATCATTCATACCCAGAACATTGTGAAATAAATTGTCACCAGAAAATGTAAATTTCTGACTTAGTTAATTAAATTCATAGATAATTTTCAGTCTTCTAGTTTTTTTTTTTTTTGATTTACAGCTTGATTCCACACTGTATTTTCGGTACAAGTATGGAATTTTCAGCATGGATATCGGTAGCCCAAATTTCGCAGGCCGACCATAGATATCAGATGTGCGTCGGTGCGGGCTCGAACCCCGGACCATGTGCATGGTCGGCGAGAGTCCTAACCACTGTGCCACCGACGCAGTTTTGATTTAATCGTTAATACACTTGATCAGTTTGCGCTGACGAACTTCCTACCTATTCGATTCATCAGCCTACTTTTCTAATCAGTGTTAGCAACAAAAACGATGCGATAATAATAGTAACAATTTGCTTTATTCCAAAAACAGTATTTGTGATACAGAATGGAATTCTCAGCATTTCACTACATACAGTATTGCATCCAGTTTGTACACTAACAATAAATAAAATTCGACATAGATTAAGGGTAATCTCAGTTAGTTTTGACAACAACACATTGGCATGTCGGTAGCAAAGCCAACATTGAACAGAGTGTTTGAAGGTGTTGAAAAAGTAGATGATAGCATATTTACTGGTGTAAGCGGTAACAATAAGGTTGAGATATATAGAGTGTGTGAGAGAAAGAAGAATAATGTTTTAAATAGAGTTTGTAAGGAAGAAAGAAACAAAGCAGCACATAACAGAGAAAATTAGAGAGAGAAAAGGAAAAGAAAGAAAGAAAACGCTGTACCTATAAATGATATGAGTTGGAAAGACGAGATCCAGTTGTTCTACTGACTATTTAATAAGTTAAAGGTTTCACGCCTAATGCTTTCTTTATCGCACAGAACACGAGGGTATGATTGAGTTTTTGTACTTGGTAGTGTGAGCATATAGTTTTCTATATAGGCTTGTGGTTCTGCCTGATGAGATAGATACAAGGCGAGATTTGTAAATGAAGAGGGTGGTGCGAGTTAGATAGAATGAATCTAGCCCATTTTCACATGAGTCCAAGTGTCTGTCGACCAGAATATTAAGAAGCTGGTTAAGTGGCACCCTATGGCTTACCCTGCTGACAACCTTTAACATCCTACGTAATAAGATATAGTCCTTCTTCAGTAGCCCTGGAAAAACTAGTGGGGGGGGGACAATAGAGAATAATAGGCAGGTTGCAAGAATTAACGAATCGTAAGAGTAAGCGTTGGGTTGGGTTATTCCAGAGTGTCTTAACTTCTCGATGTAGACGGTAAGACGGAATATTTTCTAAGAAATCATCAAGATATGAGACGACCAGGAAAGATCAGCAGATAGAATGACGCCAAGATATTTAATTTCCGACTTGGCATCTATTTCAGTGTTATCTATGTTGCACACCTCGTGAGTGCTAACCAGTTTACTTAGGTCAGATTTATGCCTAAAGGTGAAATTGGTATGATACCACAGGACCCACGATGCAAGAAGACAGGTCGTTGCCGTAGTAAGCTTTTACTGTCTCTAATCAACAGACAACAAGGCTGACAGCAGTTGCGTATATGTATGCTTTGAATGGCCTTCAGAGATACTAATTACATTCATAAGTTGAAGTAGCCAACAACCAATAGGGTTCCCAAGTCATAAATAAGGGGTGGGGGGGGGAATACAAACAGCACTGTAAAGAAAGATAAATGTAGTATGTTGCGAAAATTAGGTCTATATAAAAAGCCTATGTAACGTTTCAATGTGTATATCTTTCTTTTTGTAAAACCCTATTATTATTATTATTATTATTATTATTATTATTATTATTATTATTATTATTATTATTGTTCCCCTGGGTTCCTAGGCGAACATCTCCACTTAATTCTGTTCATTGTAGCCATCTTTTTAGCTGGCCCTACGATTACCCACGATCTCTCATCTCCTCCATAATACCCTCCAACCTAAGCCCCAAACTCGTCATTTTCCAGTTGGGTTCCACTCGAGTGGTGGTGGCCAGATGCGCCGCGGTATGATTCGACGGCCTCCTCAATATGTGTCCAATCCATCTCCATTTTCTTAGGCGTGTTTTTTGGACAGTAGGTTCTTGGCTTGTTTATTCCCATAGTTTCTTGTTGCTAATTTTATCTGGTCGTCCATTTGATCTTCAATATGTGGAGCCAGAGAAGGCAGCTGTTGATGAAAGTCCGCAACAGCCTGTTAGAAATGCTCTCGTTGACACGAACTCCAAGTTTCTAAGTCATATACAAGAA